CACTGCAGTGAGTCATGTTTTATTGACCCTTACTTGACCTCTTTTAAATAGTTCATTGTCTTTAAAACGTTCTGTCACTGCACTAAAACCAATATTGCGTATGTACTGTAATGCTCTGACTGTTATTTCTTCCATATTGTGTTCTTCATGTACCTGTACAAGCAGTCATTTTCCTTTCCCCAAGGGTAACCACAGCTCTTAATACAGCATGACTGTAAATTGCCTATGGTGAATGGTAGTGTACATGTACCTTCCATTATGACCCTTGTCCATGGACATCTTTCCTGGCCTCCATGCTCATGCAAAGCTTGGGCTATCACCCTCTCAATAATTCCACCATTGTTCTCAGAGCTTACTGTAAAAAAGATATCACAAAACATTGCTTGATCTACTTTAATATTTCACTGTAATTATTTAAACAAAACACCACTTATTGGCATGGGACACATACACACAGTCTCTTTACTGTATCTGCTACATGAATATTACTAACTTTGCCATTTGCGTTACCTGCAGACGCTTCTATTCAAAGGATTTTTGATCTTCTATAGGAAATTCTTTTTAATCCAAACAACACACTCCGACTTAAAAGGTGATTCGGAATTAAATGCAATTTATTGTATAAAATATTTTATTATATAAACACCAATGAAATACCAGGTGAGCTTTCACGAAAACGTGATATCTTCACATGTGAAAATAACACTGTTACTACGGTTCAGCGTTCCAGTTAATTCTTTCAAGCAGGGTATCAGGAAGACTATCTGAGGGGTTTTTCTATTTTTTTTTTAAATATTTAACTCGATGTTTATATTTCATCTGTCGGGTCAAGAAGCCTTCTTTGTCGGGTCATTGACCCGAGACCTGTCTCTTATCTGGAACATTCATGGTTACATAATGAACTGAACCTTCCACAGTGAAAGGTAAATTGGTTGGTATTTCATTGGTGTTTATATAATGAATAGAATGTTACATGGCCGCTTGGAGATACGAAATTTCTCTTCTTGTGTTGAAAAATATTTCACTATTTTTCAACCCTGGAAGAGAAATTTCGTATATTCGTGCGGCCATCCTCACCTATAAATCCTCCCACTTTTCTCGACAACTTACAATATTGAATAGGGATATGGTTTCAGTTTTTTTAATACTGGATGTTACTTTTAGACTCTCAAATCTGCCCGTATCAGAGAGTCTTAAAGTCTGGTTGTAACATTTTTTATTAGCTTTGCCAAAACATAAAAACTATGTCCAGACACTCAAAAAATACTACCAGTAAGGCAAGACAAAGGACAAGGACATATGGGTTCCTTGCAACAGCATAAGGCTTAAGCCAATTACTGCAGGCTCATCAAATTCTGAAAATAAGGCCCCAAAAAGGCCTCCTAAAACAAGCTCCTCCATGTGTTTGTCTCTGGGGCGTATAGATGGTAATTGCTCCTCCAAATATACAGCTCCTTGAAGAAGGTTGTGAATAGTACATGTATAAGCCCTGGGGCTTGTTTCTGGAATGTTACTGTATTAGTTTTTTTTTTATAATCATACTTTAATTTTTCAAAGATACAGGCCTGTTTTTAAGTGTTTATGTTGTGGTTCAATTTTATCTTTGGTTTAATTTTTTTCTCCTTTTGGGTATGATAATATATGGTAATGTGTGGTTATTTTTTAAAACAAAGAGAGAAAAAGTTTAAACCATTTATAATACTGAACAACAACATTTACATGTACAAAAATCAGATGATGTCAAGGGTATTAACTTTATTACTTACTCTTCATCTAGATAAAAGCCATTGAAGTCCTCTTTTCTGCAAAGAACTTTATAAATCTTCCTCAACGATCTCTGATAAAAAAATGATGTTTCAGTTTCAATTAGGCATTTGCAACACTAAATCCCAATCTCCAACTCCCCAATACACCTTATTCCAAAATGACGACAGACTTAGTATTCTTTTGTGCCAATGTTAATTGGCCCTTGTTTCCTCAGTTTAGGTTAAAAATTATTTTTAATTCTGCAGATGCGGTGAAGACAAAGGGTGCTAATTAATATGAATATATAGAGGATATTACACGGTGGTGAGAAGATATGAATTTTATTTCGAGTGGCAAAACAATATTTTACGAACAAGCGCAGCGAGTGAGTAAAATATTGTTTTCGCCACGAGAAAATAAAATTCATATCTTCAAGCCGCCGTGTAATGTTCTTTTTATTATATAAACAAAAAGACATCGATAAAGTAATAGAGGGAAATGACCGAAATTATGTCATCAATAAACTCACGTGTGAGATTATGGAAAATAAACCACTCGGGGCCCGGAGTTAGTTTTTATGAATTTTACGAGTGGTATATTTTCCAGTAAAACACTCGTGTCTATATAATAAAAAGGAATAACCAAATTGTTGCCATTTTGGAATAAGGTGTACTCAAAGCCCATTTTTGGGTTACAAAGTCAGTTTTGTTTGTTTTGTGTTGGTTCTGTTTTGGTCGATGTCCCACTTCTAAATATTAAAGGCAAACAAATTTGACTCTTGCATTATTACACTTGTCAATGTCAATATCATCTACTATGGTAGGGTCCATTAGAGAAATGATGGGGGGGGGGGGAAGTTTGGCAGATTTAATACTTTTTTTCTGTACACTTAAGATGGAAATCTTCAGTGTCTGTTGTGTTTTTTTGGTTGTTGTTTGGTGATACTTCGTGGGTCTATTTTTTCTTGAGTTTTAATTTACTGGGAAAACTTTGTTTTGCTTTTGCCCAACCTCCCCCCTACCCCATAACTTTTCTAATGGTCCAATTATTACACAAATGGATTACGTATTTGAGGCAGCCCCGTAGCAATGAATAAGTACTTCTTCGCATTTTAATCGGTCTGCTTTTGCCAACATCCACTCGCAGTGATCGTGAAATAGAAGTAAAATGATGTTCTCTCCTGTCATAAATATCTATTTAAACGAGAATAATTTTTGCTGGAGTTTGCGCGCGCCAAAACCATTTAAACGAATTAATGTACCGGCCATGGCCTCATTTTCTAATCTCCACAGTCCAGCACCTTTACACAATGCCTTTTATGTCGATGTATAGTAGATCTTTTATATCTTTCTTTTAAATGTGCGTTCCTTTTAATAATTAAGCTTACCCTGCATGCCGCAGAAACGGCAGTTGAATTTCTTGCGCTCCTACGTCGTGGGTTGGAGCGCCATCCTCCGCGAGGAATAAATTCTCTCTCATGCAACCTATTCTCAATCCTCTGCAGAATTTCTGCCTGACTTTTGCTTGATTTCTCGTGCTCTTGCCGTAGCTTCTCGTTTTCTGCTGCAAGATTACGGTTGGTCCGGATGAGCTCCTCCACCAGCACAAGACAATCTTCAGCCGAATCCGGAGGAATAATGCCCTTTGCATCTGCCATAGTGAACTTCAAGGAAAAATCACTGTCTAGATCAAAGCACTAAGTATGGATCTCATCAGCAACCGAACAACGAACTAATAAGTTCAACCGTCCAAGGGCTCAAGAGGATTTGCGCGCTCTTTTTCTAAAATATGCCCCCTGATGTTTTGCCTCGCTCTGATGATCAAATACGTAGTCGCTGACCATTTGTACTATGGCTCAAAAATGCGAATCGGCGCGAAAAGTTCCGTGAGATCACGACTGTCTGAGAGCACAGCTTCTAAAACATAATTAAAGAGCACAGGCTGATAATTTTGGAGTTGTAAGGTAAGGTCGTCGTATTTCTATTTATTTCTGATGTATGTAGCAACACATACGTTTGCTATTTTCCCAAAAAACCGTACACTGTGATGCATTTGCATCACTTGTTATTGACGATTGAACACAAACAATGAGTTATTCTGATTAATTTTTGTAAACTTGAGTCTTATTGATCTTTTAAATACATACAGAAATGCTATAAGCTTATATTGCATAAGGCCGAATCCACACCGTACATGCATCGTTCATTAGTCAAGACAAAGCATACGTGCATGGTCAAGTAGAACGCGGTGCGTAGGCAAGTGTTGGTTACAGCTATACTTTCCAGCTATTCACTTTTAATACAAAAATAGGGAAAATACACGGTTTCAAACGGCTTTTAATCATTACGCACGAGTTACAACCACAGTCATACGAAAACTCTTCAAAAAAACTAGATCGTAGTTCACACAGTCTCGATTTACAAAATGTTATTCATTAATTAGTCAACGCCGGCCTTGGGTCACGCAACATCAGTCACACAACCAATCTTCCCCTCCTGAATTGAGAGTACATGCACTCAAAATCACATGCAAAACAAAAACTACAAATGAACAGTGTTCTAGACAATGGTATTCAATCAATGTGGAAAGCTCAGTCGTGTTTTCCAATGGACATAAGCTTTTTCGTTTAGAATTTTAAAATAGGCAAATGACACAATAAGGTTATGTTCACACTTTGTACCCAAGCACGAGTGCCTGGGTACTAGCACAAAATAGTGAGTTTACATTGACTGTGTCAGTTACATATCGGGTACCCGAGTGGTCGTTTAGGGCCCTCATATGTGCCATATTTAAGTGCATTTTTTACCATTTGGAGGGGAACTGGCACTAGTTATGCACAGGATACCCAGGAAATTTCACTGCAATCTTATTTTTCGTGATTTACATTGTATTTTTTCAAATCTCAGTCATGGATGACCCTGAGTATCTATCCTTGTACAAGGGGGTTTTCCACATTATACTTAAGAGTCTATGTGTAGAGTAAGTTTTCATTTTTTGGTCATTAAGGTTTTATTCTCCTTGAGTACTGCTAATGCCAGGATAGACCAGCTGGGAGGATACCTAGGTAGTTTACACATGGTATAATTGAAAAGCCTTTCAGGGTTTTGGATTTAATTTTTAATCAAAGGACCTTTTCTGCGGATTGTAAATTTTGTAGTTCCTTTTCTAGGGTACACTGATTTTTAATTGGAAAACTGGTATTTAATCTAGCCTGATTTCACTTTTTTGTTAGATGGGAAAACACAACAAAGTAAACCGTAAAAATTACTGGAAAAGACGAAAAAGGAGATTTACAGGGAGGGGAAATGAAGAACAGTGCTCTTCAACTTGCAGCAAGGAGGAGCAGAATCATGGTGGCTTGGAGAGTGATTTTGACCATGCAGACAATGACAGTGAGGATCAGACTGGCCATAGCTTGCAGAACTATCTGGACACTTCAGATAATGGCAGTGAATATCAGAATGATCATAGCCTCGAGAACAGTCTCATCCCTTCAGTTAATGACAGTGAGGGGCAGAATGTTAATGTTGCAGATGAACTTACAGCCTGTAGCACTGATAATGAAAGTGAACACAGTGATAAATGCCTTGATTTAAATGATCCCAAGGTCATAAAATTCTTTGACCAACCTAAACCAACTGAGGATCCACTGTGGGTGAATATGTTTGTGTATCAAAGACATAAGAGGAAGCTGTTAAAGCTGTTGAGAAACCCACTTGGAGTCAAATATTAAACGGTAAGTTATGTACTGTAGTACTAATTTTAAACAAAAACTTTAAGGTGAACATTGGCAATGTTTATCATCTACTTTCATATTGTTCTACAAATCCACAGCAAGCACTAGTGCTAATCAAGGCTGTGCACTGAGAAAGACAGTAGAGAGCCCAAAGCTCTGAACCTGTGAAAGCTAGGGTCCCTGTGATATGAGTTTTATGAGAAAAAATACTTCCTAGATTTCCTAGTCTTCTAAGGGCAAAAGTGCAGCCAGAACACAGTCCTGCAAATAGCAGAAAGCAAAAATTTTTCCCAGGAACCACTGATTCCCAGTTATACCTTATCTCCCCTTCCAGGAAGGGATATTCATTCTGACTGTTGACCATGTTGGGGCAATTTGAATCAGTCTGTGGAAGTCACAAGAAGCATTGAGCCCACAATAGGTAAGGGGAACGGAATACCAGTAGGCATACATGTAGTTTTCCAGTCTTTTGATAAGTAACATGAGATTTTGTCCCTTTGATGCAAAACACACAAGTGGCTGCTTTTTTCCAGATATTTAAGTTCCTACGCCTTTTCACCAAACACATGAATGTGGCAGATTTTGTATGTACTTTGATTTTGCACACAAAGTTTGGCAGTTTTACTTTCAGTGACCATAGCTTTCTAGACTTGAGATGCAGTGTACATGTGGTGAGATTTTATCACCTGGAGGAGAATGTGAGAGACGACTTGTTAGATCAGCAGGCTTTTATATTTTCTTGTAGACTGGTGCAGAATGCGAGTGACGGCTTATTATCAGATCTTTGAATTTCTGCACCTTTTCAGTGAGGACATAAAAACAGGCAGATTTTTTAGTAGACTGGTGCAGAATGCGAGTGACGGTTTATTGTCAGATCTTTGAATTTCTGCACCTTTCCAGTTGGCACATAAAAACAGGCAGATTTTTTAGTAGACTGGTGCAGAATGCGAGTGACGGCTTCTTGTCAGATCTTTGAATTTCTGCACCTTTTCAGTGAGGACATAAAAACAGGCAGATTTTTTAGTAGACTGGTGCAGAATGCGAGTGACGGCTTCTTGTCAGATCTTTGAATTTCTGCACCTTTTCAGTGAGGACATAAAAACAGGCAGATTTTTTAGTAGACTGGTGCAGAATGCGAGTGACGGCTTCTTGTCAGATCTTTGAATCTCTGCACCTTTTCAGTTAGCACATAAAAACAGGCAGATTTTTTAGTAGACTGCTGCAGAATGCGAGTGACGGCTTATTGTCAGATCTTTGAATTTCTGCACCTTTTCAATGAGCACATGAAAAAGGGGATGATTTAGTAGTAGACTGGTGCAGAATGCGAGTGACGGCTTATTGTCAGATCTTTGAATTTCTTCACCTTTTGCATTTCTGCACTTTTTTAGTGGTTATTATACATGAAAATGTAGTAGATTTTGAATCAGTCTTGAATGTGGGCATAACCTGTGGCTAAAATGTCAGCGACAGTACATGTGGCTTTCTAGAGATTTGATATAATAAGTGAGATTTTATCACTTGGTGCTTGGTTATCATGAGTAAGTTGAGTATTCCAGAACAAAATTGATTAACAATCCACTGCACAGTATCTACAGGTTTTTAAGACTCCTAGGACTTGTTCATTATTGGAAAAAATTGTCCCAATCAGATATAAAAGTTTTCTGTGTGGGTAGGCAAGGACCTCTTCTGATCCACAATGGAAATTTTTGGAACATTTAAGTCTCTTTCCCAATGCATGATTTATAATTAATTAATGTGAGACTTGTTTTTCTTTTTTCTTTATAGTGACATGAAGGAAAGCTGAGGCGTACCTACAGCTGTACTTTACATGTTGTTGTCATTAATATTAAATTGTTGTGAAATATGTAACTTTTCCTTACACTGAAGTTCAAACTGACATAAAAGTGATGCAAGGTACCATGCAGAACTAATCAGCGACTGATCAATGTAATTAGTGGGTAGTGAATGTGTAATCAGTGAATGATCAGTTGATTACTCATTCAATATTGCCAATACTCAATTTGTAATACATGTATTTGGGACTAACCAAAGGTCTACAAAATTTTTAGTCATTGATTAATCATTGTTGTCACTGATTAGTGATTGCACTTGTGATCCACATTAAATTAGTATCCTGCCGGAATTCACCTTTCATAAATGAACTTTTGCCTGTGAAACAACTTCTGTTTTCTGGAAAGTGTTTCTGTGTCCTTTGATTGGCTACTCCAACTCAAGAAAATTAGCTAGTAAATGGCTGGTCGCCATCTGGATTTGTTCTAGATTTTTCATGCGAGCTTACATATCTGTATTTTTGCACAGTCCCTTTAAATTTTATTATAAGTGAACATTCCTGTTGATGGGAGCCACAACAACTTGTTTTTGTCCCTCAAACTCCAGTTCAGCCAAGGCAAATCTTGAAAAGATCCTTTGGACTGGCATGAACGACGAGGGTCTCGTCGATGGAATTTGTTTTTACAGACTCTAATTGGGTTGCCATAAAGACCGGAAGATTGTTTGTGTGGTATATACCATTTCATGCAGGCAAAGTGGTGTGCGAGATGTTCATCCCCCAGCTGAATAGAATGCTTGAAATAGTCGCGTACAATCCCGGCAGACAACAAAAATCTGTCCTGAAGGACTTCTCTATTGTCTGCCACCCAGGACGCTAAAATCTTGCTAGACCGAATTCGTCTGGGCTGCATTTGTGATCCATATGTAGTTGACCAAATTTTTATTGTTCCAAATTTCTGTATACCTTCTGCCAGATTGGCTTTTTCAATCTCCCTTCCTGGGTACAGGATTTTATAAACTTGTCTCAACAATGTCGCGTCATCCACATCCAAATGAACCAGTTTATAACTGGAAGGTCGGGTAACCCCGGAATCATTTCTCCACTTTATACCATTAAGAGGTGCCTTTGTTGCAATATTTCGAAACTCGTGTGTGACGCACCAATTGTGAGGGTGAACTTCTGTAATATCACTGTCCGACATACCTGAAGGTGAACATAAACCCAAAAATTCAATTTTGTACTTGTGTGGTAACTTCATATCTTTTAATTGCCTTGATATCAAGAGCTTTCTCATGAGTTGCAACTCAACCGATCTCTTGTTGGTTGTAGTGCTGCCCATTATGCCATTAAAGAGTTCGAAACTGAAGCACCAAAAGCTAGTTATAGGTCCGTGGTCGAGTATGACCTCTTTAAGATGATTATGTAAGTGCATATTGGGTGTGATCACATGTTTTCCGTACAGTCTCTACTGACTTGCACAACTTGAGTATTAACCCGTCAGCTATGTCCAAGTCAGTTCCAGAAATCACAAATTGGCATAGGTATTTGCATGCTAGCACAAACGTTTGCCAGCATTTTAAATGCTCGTCTGGTAAAATACCTATAAGGCAGTAAATTGAATAAATGAGTGTCCAATTTTTCCATTGTTCTGCCCTGTACGAACCGGAATTGCTGGATATTCGCATAGGCAGTGGACCGATATCACTGGGAACCTCTATGGACTTTATCCTCTCTTCAATTTCTTTGAGCTGGCCTGTGGAAAATAATTTCAAATCATTCCACAGCTGGAACATTTTCTTTGACGTACCTAGAAAGAGGTTGTGCATCGGATCTCCGGTGCAGAATCTTATAATATTGAAATATTAGAGTTCCAGTAAGACACTGTAGTGGCTGATGCCACTACTCTGCCCTATTGACTTCCGCTCTGCCTTTGTTTTGCTCCTGGAAATTTTTGTTGCTTGGCGCCGATGGTCTTCATTGGTACGGGGACTCCAAGAGTTTCTATCAAATCCCGAATAATCTCTTTTTTCCCCAAAGCCGCCGGGAAATTTCTTTAAGCAGTGAGAGCACCCAACTAACGGCGAATGGCTCTTGAATCCACAGATTTTTCTTGAGGCCGGAACATCAGAAGAAATGCTAATAACTGCTGCACGAAACGTTAATGCAAATCTACTGAGACAAGATCTTAAACGAACTCCTTTCCACAGTGCTCTCAGTTCATCTACTACAGGCTCTAAAAACTGGTTCAAGTCCTTAGGTTCCCAGTCAAGAGAGGGAACAATGCCTAGAACAATGATATTCTCCCATCTGAACCTTTCAGCCCTAGGCAAATTTAAAACGGCTAAATAAAACACTCTAACAGAGTAATCTTTCCGGTGCTTCATGGGTTGAAAAAAATCAAAGTTTAACATGAATCCATATTTTCGTGGTTTCTGCAGAAATGGCGTTCCATTCACAGTTTGAAATTCCCTCCACAAATTTCCGTCATAGATGTCGGCAAGTAAGCCTCCTCTCATTTCCCTGTTTCTCCACAACTCGCAATTCGAAGCGAAGTTTTCCCGAAGTAGAAATTTTTCTAACTCCTCGATAATGCTTCTGGCACAATAGTAACTGATCGGGTAGAAGCAAGTCTTTCCATTCTGAAGAGTCACTCTTGTTACCATGGAAGCGTTGCAAACCATCTTCTTTCTTCTTAAGTAATAAGTGTTAGTACACTTTTTTGCTACTTGCCGGCCGTTAACCATCTTAAGGCAGGAGTCATATTTATAAAGTTTTGTGCATTTGGCACACACAACAAACTTGTTAAAATCGTCCCTGTCCAAATTTAGAAAGTCTTACGAGGTACAACGACCCAAGGAAGATTAAAAGCACATTTTCGAATACCTCACTGGAGATTTCAACGCCAAGAACTTTGAGCCATGAGATAAGGAATTTTAGAAGCCAGACCAGGCCATTATCACTTAAATGGCATGTCGCTTGCCAGAGTGGGAGAAAATAAAGGAGCCAGAAAACCAGCAAATTTACTTTTTGAAGGGCTATTTTCTGGCGTTGCGCTTTGGGTAATGGTGGTGTATTTTCAATGTCTCTGGACAGCATCTTGGGCAACACTCCGCTCCAGACTTCTTCTGATTCTGACTCGGAGGAAGATGTCTTTTCGTCACCACTTTGACACTTTTCTGTTGTGCAGCTGTCACTGTCGGTGTCACTTTCAGAGTGAAACTCGTTTTGCACGGGATCATCATCTGACTATTAAAATAAAGAAAAAGAACCAAGTTATTCAAAAACATCAATCGAAAACATCGCTTTTAATAGTGTTTTTGTACACTCCCCGCGGCATCCAAAAAAAAGAGACCCGAGAAAATGTGCCCTTCGCAGGAGGAAAGCCTCTTTCTTCTTTAGCTTTTGTTGTTATTAAGCTTTGACTACAGAAACACCGACTGGCAAGAATATTTTTCTCCATTAAGTCAGTCCCAGTTATGTATATGCTTTCAACAGTTTTCTTTTACGCGCATTGGGTGTTGAATTAAATTAGTTCGCCGAACTTAATTAATAAGCGTCTGGGGTTCCAGGCGTCTACACGACGAAGAAAAGCACAGGTTCCTGCACATAAAGCTATGTTATTTTCAATTTCCTGAAATATTCACATCCACTTTTTCTTATTCATTTCCACTGAAACATAACCCAACTATAATATCGTTTGCATCCTCTACTTCAGTTAAAAACAAACAAAGACTTCATGACCAATTTCCGAAGTCTAAAAGAAAATCAAACTACACTTTGAATGCTATAATTTCGGGAATCGCTGAGCACTCAAACTTCACTTAAACCGTTCATAATATAAAATGCTTGAATAATGGTAAGCGGGGCCATGCGTAACGATACCTTCGTAATAGCATATAGTTTCTTTTATTACATCTATTATCGGTACATTTCTATTGTTAAATGTATGCTCGACCTCCCAAACACCTCACCTTTTCGTCTTCTGGAGTTGTTGATTCTTTTGAAGATGCCGCATGGGCAAGAGAGGCTTCTTCAAGGCAAAATTCTGAAAGTTAACGTAAGTCTGTCACTTTTGCGTTTTTTTGCTAAAGTCGGTAAGGACAGCAATGCCTCATTTATATTTGTCAAACATATTTTCTATGTCAAGTATGATTACTTGTTCGCACAAATAGTCTATTTAGAAGTCACCAGAGAGGTGCATTTTTATTTTATGCTCACCTTGACTGTCTGGTGATGGCACGCCCTTATTATTTCTGATGGTTAAATCGTTCCAAGATAATTCCTGAACAACAGAGGATTCTTCAAGGACCGTAACTGTATTGAAATAGAAGTGATAAAGCATGGCTCATTTGAGTGACTACGTACCGACACGCATTTTTTATAATTGCATAAAAGCTTAATTGCTAGCGCTGTTGTGTACTCACATTCATTATTTCATGAAGATGTAGCGTGATCAGTCTTTGCGTCCAATGAATATCTTTTCCTTTCGTGCCTCTTGAGGTCGAACGTGATACCACGTTGTCACAGTGAGAGCAATAGACATAACCTTTACTTATTTCTTCTCGTTCCATGATTTCTACGCAAACTCAAAATTCTGTCAGATCCAGAGTGAATGTATGTAGCTACGACATGCGTATGTAACACACCTCTTGCGATCAAATAAGATATAAGTATTGAACTCTAGAGACAATGTGTATAGCTCGGCTATATCTGAGATCCTGCGGTGTCTTGACCCTAAAGGTCAACTAAATGTCGCTTAAAGTTCAAAATGACAGAGGCCGTCCTGAATTACCTTTACAAACTTTAAAGTTAAAACTTAAGTTTATTTAAAGATTTTAAACCGTTTTAGGTTGCTTTAATTTAAAATTAAAGGTACTAAATCTCAAGAGTTCATTTTGGGGTAAATTAAAGGTCATAAAACAAGACCAAAAGGTTAGTAGCCTTTAATTTAATCAAAACGTCAATTAAAGGTATAACAAAGGTACATTCTACGTTTTGAACATTTAATGTTATAATTAAAGTCAATTAAAGATCAAACAGACCTTTTGGTGAGCTTTAATTTTTCACAAAAGACACCAAAATGTAAGCGTTTTTCCTGTGTTTGCTACAGTTCTAGGCACAATCCTGTCACGTGCCCTCTTAGACAGCCTCTTGTTATACTTTTTATCAAGTCGCTTTTTGATTTTTCGTAGAGCTGTGCTCTCCCAAGGGAGCTTTTTGATCTTGTAACTGGTTAGGGTCTCCTTGCCATCTTCGTCAGCTTCATAACAGCTATCCTCGCTGCTCATTGTCTCCATCAGGAGGACCTCTGCTGCCCTTCCTTTCTGATGGTTGTCGGCCCATGTCACCATTTCTAGGGCAGCTGTCCTCCGTGTTAACTTCTAAATTAAAGAAACAGAATAAGAGTAGGTGGTGCGCCAGAACTCATTACAATACAATCCAACTGATTCCACCATTGGATACTTAACAAAAGAGGATAATTAGATGAGACTTAAACAATATCCACAGTAATCTCTCTTATTATTCTGTACATCACAAAAATTAAATCTTATAATAAATTTTTGTTTTTGAATGAAAAGATATGGTCTGTAGATATGTTATTTACTACCTTTTCACAGATAACAAGCCACTTAAACCAACTAAGCATGCAAGGTTTACATCACGTTACTCTAAGAAATCATGCAACGTGGACAAGTGGTTGACATGATTAGTTGAGACCTTGACATGATTATTGCATAATCTGATTCCGAAAATTGACTGTATGCTTTTGGCCGATCAGAAAAGAGATAGTGAGTTCACTGTAACATAGCCTATGTAAACAGACACCTGTTCCTGCAAGTGCAGCACTGAATTGCAGTTTTATAACTGCACTTCACTTCACTTCTTACATGTATGCCTTATGTGAGGCACAGACACCTTAATCTGTTTTAAGCTAATGGGAACTACTTCATTACTATACATTGTACTCACTATTCTTCTCATTGGCTAAGAGCCTATATTTAATTCTGAAAATGAGCGCAACCTACGGGAATAAACCAGTAGGATGCACATGCAATGTATAATTTCCAAGAACAATGTTAAGTTTGTGTTCAGGCGAGTGGAATGGTTTCACACAGCCAAAAACATGGCTTGTCAGTTAAAACAATGCTTTAAACAATTTATATGTATAATAATTAAAAACAATATTTAAGATTCAGGTTCTGTGACATCCAGAGTTATTATTAACAAGATCTCAGCAAGTCAGTTACAGTATCAGCTTTGGCCTTGGCTAATTAAATAGAGTTAAGTGGGGGGAATTGTTTTACCTAGTTAGATACTAATCAATAAAATAGTGACGTTTGGAATGTGACATGTAAAAAACTACAGTGTAGATCTCCTTGTTTTGGGGCCATTTTAGTTTATAGCTTTATGATGATAAGTTTGGTGACACTGTAACAACTTGGCAAAGTTTGCAAGAACAACAACAACAACAACATTTATTATATAAGTCTAAATTTACACAAATGAATTAGTTACCAGCAAGAAGCACAGCTAGTAGAGGTGGTGGGCAAAAAGTAAAACTACAACAATAACGAAGAAGCAGATAATAAACTAAGCAAAGCATAACTAATGAATAAAATACTGAGAGTTCAGTTAATCTGACACCTGCATTGCTTGCATGAATGACAATTGCAGGATACCATCTCTTAACCTATTCGCCCATAACCGCCCGTGCGGATCCAGGTCCTTTCTACCCTTTGTGACGTCATCAGTTTTAACGGTCAAGGACAACTTTCTTCGCACACGTGTGCAGAGTGAAGAGATCTTTCAAACCATACCAGAATGAGCACAATTCAGTCAAGGACACCAGAGAAAGAAGCAAAAAACCACGTGACAAGGACCTGAAAATCTCCATGAAAATCTTGTTCCATTACCCACCTACCTTTCCTTTCACCTAATCCTAAGATCCTAAAAGCTTTCCTAAAAACTCTTCCCACCAAAATGAAGCCTACTAAATGCCCAGCAACAGAAAAAAAAAATTAAGTAAGAAAAGCGAAAAAAGGAGGAGAGAAAGCGAAAAGTAAAAGTCAAGACTGCTGTGTCACTTTTAAACCCAAAATGTCGAAATTTTGCTTTCTGCGCATGCCCGAACTTCGCAAGCTGATATTTTGCATCTGGATCAGAAGGTCGCCAAGTGTACGACCTGTAAACCGGTTTGTGGTAAGTTTTAGCTCTTTATAGCACGACAGTGACCAGAAAACCACTCGACTACCTTCAAAACGCGTTTTTCGGCAAAATCTCCAGGAGCGAATGGGTTAAATGAATTAATGCTATAGTCATAATTACCTCTCTTTGTCGGCCACTCTTGCGTGTCCTCCTTTTATGATCTCCATATTTTTCAGAATTTTTCAGTCTTCTAGTCTCATTTAATGACTGAAAATATCTTTGTAGAGCAGCTGTTGTAATGGTAAAGTAAGGTGACTAGCATTAGCACAGGCTTACATGTCAGTACAGGGGACTGTATTCTAGGAAATAATGTATTATAGGGGAACCAATTACTCTAACTTATAAAATTCAGAGTGCCCATGAGCAAATAAAACAATTACGATTTTCTTGCTTGCTTAAGGACAAAGGTAATTCATCACTTATAAACACTGCAGCCAACCTGTCAATGTGTTACAAATGATATAAAGCTACCATTGGATGGTTAAAATCTTAGTTAATGTTATTATTCATTCAAAATATTTTCCTGATTCTGATGGGCTAAAAGCACCCGTTTAATTCACCATAACCAGTTACTGATGACTAAATTTGGAAGAATTTTGAGTTTAACGAGGAAATGACATCAAAAATGCAGCGTTTTTGCAGGTTAAGGCACCATTAACCGAGAAGACCTGGGGACGAGGTTGGGTTGTTTTGCTCGTGAACTTGAAAAATGGCTGACATTTTACTCGTTTCCAGAGTAAGAACTAGGCGAAAAAATAGCTAAAAACATGGCAAGAACAGCAAGTACACAACTCGAAGGGCGACATCTGTTTTTTGGAGAATATTTGCGGAGCTACACAAACCTAAACGTGCACTATCGAAGATGAACTTTACATCGATGGATCGATGGAGGTAAGCATGTTTTAGCCATGTTTTTAAACTAGGAATTATTTTGAATGAATAATAAAACAATTATTGAATTCGGCTTTCCTATCATATGAAGAATTATGAAGATCTCGGAGGGTGTTATCCGTCTTGGCCTACGGCCTTGATGGATAACACCCTCCTCGATCTCCACAATTCTTCATAAGATACTCAGCCTCATTCATTAATTGTTAATTATATTTCTATCATATCACGTGATCTGTTCCCAAATTAAAATAAACAGGAGCTGGCCTAAATTCGTCCGACTTTAATGATGTGCGACTATTATACATATGAATACAGGTAAATTCACATTAAGCAGTCCCACTTTCAGGCGGTTTAAATGGTCACGTCTTAAAACAATTAGCATACTGCTGCACTAAATGAAATTGTGCATTCCTTGTAATGAACTGTTTTGTTGTTGTCTTTTTTTCTCTTCACACTTGAAGGAATGGAAAACTCCTTGAGGTAGTTAAGGATTAATCCCTCACTACTCTCACTCACTACTGTATCTTTCGGTGTATGACATTTGCAGACTGCAGACTGCAGACCGCAGACCGCAGACCGCAGACTGTTATTTGCGTGACACTAATTGTAAAATAATACACATTGAAAACATAAGAATAAAGGTGACGTCATCATCAATAAAGCAACGTCAAAAAAAAATTGGAAATCAGCCTTGGCCTGGGGCGCTGGGTACGAGGTTGATTTTTCCCGCGTAAAGTTACGACAGCCTCGTTGCCAAGTTGTCTTTGGCTGCAAAGTTTCGGAAGAAATGGCTTCGACCGATTCAAGGTACGATTCTTTCTTTTTCTTCTTAATAGGTTATCGTTGTATGATAATAACAAGTAGCCGAGTAATACTTGTCTATTAAGTAATTCTTCAGCAAAGAAAGTTCGGAATGCGGTGGGATATTGCAGAAGAACATTGTCTAACCCGTTGTTTGTACGGCGCGCGGGAAGCGAATGTTGAAACATAAACATGCGATTTGTTTGAGCAATTTGTCTGTGGAATGTTAGAATATACCAGAAATGAACTAAACCCTGGAATACCGGAAATAAGTCGTCGGCTGTATTTGTGATGTGGAAGGAATCTAAATACTGTGAATGAGAAACCATGTGTAATAGACGCTATCCGGTCGATGCGCAATTAATAATATGAACACCGCTCGCAGAACCATTTCGTGTTAACACGAACCGAACCAATGTCGTGAAGGAAATAACATCATGTAAAGGCTCTAGTGGGTAGTTTTAGTATAATAGTATAAAAAGTAATGCGCGTATTCAGTGTGAGAACCACAATCTTAGAGATTTATTAAGCTTATAATATCTCGCCCCTAAATAAATTATTGCGGTGGTCTGAGAATTTTCGAAAGTATACAGTGTTATGTATACACTTACCACTGAGAAATCTGGTATATTGAGATATGGTAGGATGGAAAATGTTTCATTTTCCCTCCCTTTTCAGGGGAATTTTGGCCAATTTTGTAGTCTGGGAATGCGGCCAATTTGTCACGACATCCCAAATTCTCTCAACATGTTTCTAAATATAGTGTCATGTTCGCTCCTGATAAACTCCTGTTTACTTTACAAATATAGTTCATACTTTTTGTTCCTATTGTAACCAAAAAGCTAAGAATGTTTAGAATGTTTAACAGGTAACAAGTAAGTTTGTTACCTGAAAGAGCACTTATCTATTTTAAATGGCCTGTGAACAGGCTTTCTGTGTGGGCGCAGAATGCAGAAATTTGAACTACACCAGACGCAACCAGAATTGATGTGTTGCAAATCAAGCCGGCGCAAATATCATTCACCTTGTTCACAAATAACTGGAATATCATGGAGAGCATGTTACTGATCAGCGACAAAAAATTACAGGAAGAAAATACTTTTGTGCTTGTTCGGTAAATCAAACGGGTAAATCAAATCTTTGCAACTGCGTGAGCGATTGACCAGTTCTCGACTCGAATTTCTTGTTAACTGGAGGCTTTACGTCGTAACAAGTTAAGGATTTCCGGGGGGAGGGGGTAATCAGTGTAAGGGCCCCACCCAAAATTTTTCAGTCTTTATGTATATGAAAGAGTGGGAGTGTGGGTGTGGGTCCTGAATTGTTAGAGAGTGATGTTCACTCGAAATATGAACCTGTCATTGAGAATATGTGTCAGGCAGGCTTCAAATCTAGTTGACACGGGCAGGTACCTTGTACCTTTATGATTTAAGGGTATAAATGGGGGCAGGTATTTGTGTGCATATCTGTGTGATAACCTGGGAATTTATTCACGTTATACTGAATTGGGTCGCATTATATCCAGAAGGAATGGGGAGAGGGGAAGCCTATTTGGGAAAGATCAAAGTTAAAGACAGTGCCAATGTTTTGTTCCAAAACGATGGCTTGCTTATTTGTAGACCTTAATGGTGAACCCTAGTATTAGAATCACGGGTGTGGTTAAGTCATCTGTCTGAGCTCTGTATTTTGCTCTTTTTCGTTAGTGATTCAGATTGTAAAATTACAAGTTACAAGGATGAGAGCTCCCAGGAAAGGTAAGAGATCATCTGTCTCTCATAATTATCAGCTTTCTGAAGGTTTAATGCTGTTTTCTTAACACTGCGGTGACAGTAAGTCTGTCCTTTACCTCAACCAAAGTAAATTCATTTAAGTATCAAGTCCTAGCTCCAGTGAAGACGGGTGCGTGTCATCTTATGTTTTTTGCTTTAATATTTTAGATGTTTGTGTGTGTGTGTCTGTCTCTGGGGGGGGGCGGTTATAGGTGCCTTATTTAGGACATCAGCATCGGCCCAGTTGTGTTGGTTTTTTTTACTGAGAACTCACTCGATGCCAGACACCCTCCGGACAAGCTGTATCTGTATCCCTTATAGAGAACTTCACTGCCGGCAGTCAGTCGAAATCTGACAAGAAATAGTCATCCCTGATGTCCTCTTTAAGAGGTCTCAGTCTTACAGTGCCGCTTTAAGAAGGTTGGCTGTAATACACCTTACTGCATTAATGTTGAAATAGGAAAATGGAAAAGAAAAAAGGGAAAAAAGTAATCAATAAATACATCTCAGCCATTGTCACGGCACATTCATGTGATAAATATGTTCATGCCTCCTAAATTTCTTCTGTTGAAAACTTACAGTGATGATATTGCGTAGAACGTTCCCAAAATCTAATGATTCTTTTAAGTCCATAACTTCTTTGCGATCTACATATCAATGTAAATTACGTGCTTAATTACAATTTTATTGAGTCCTTCCTTTTTTCCATTTTTTGATTACAACATTACTGAAGTGCTGCTAGGTATAGGAATTCATATAGGAAGATAGAACGAGAGTCAAAGCAATTTTTACAGATCAAATTGTTTTACTGTTTCATAGTTATGAATGTACAGGCTATTGAAGATGCCTATTTTCATTCCTAAAGCTCTTCCGAGTCAGACGGGATGTCATTCTCATTGCAAGATGTCAAGAGAGAGGACGTCAATTATTTTAGAGGGCAAACAAGCTTACCGTATCTTGCAATTCAAGACAACTTTACCTCTGAGGAGCTTGCGCGGTAGCTGTTAAATCCTCCCAGTTTTGCAATTTGTAAAGACAGACCAGCAGTTTGCCAAAAGAACGCTATGTTTCTTATTGATCGAGAAATACCTGCAAGTGAAGACCTCAAGTCTGACGACTTCTCTTGGAGAAATAATGGCACGAAAATGTCAAACATCACCTTGAGGAATAAAAGATATGTTCTTCAACGTACCTACTTTGTGCATGCTAAGTATAAAGACTTTAAGCGTAGGATCTACAGTCTTTGTAAATCAGATGGTACCCCATACCAGTACATCCTCTTGTGTTATCGATTTGAAGAATCAGAGCACGCAGTGTCCCCATGCAAGAAAGCCCGCATGCAGCCATCTACACTGAAAGCGATCAAGAAGAAGTTGAAGTCAGGTAAAAGCTCACGAGATGTCTACGTGGAAACTCGACAGGAGGCTGGTGGCCTTTCAGCTTGTAAAGTTTCTGCTAGACCGTGTTCGGTCAGTCAGGTTCAAAAAATTAAGGAACGGTCCATTCACCACCAAAGCAGTACCTACACTGCAAGACCCGGTCAAAAAGACGAACTTTATTCCGTGATTCTGAAATGCATCGACGACAGCACACATCCAAATAGATTTCTCCGATTTGTCCAAGGAGCGCCTCAGCCACTTGCGTTTCTTTCCGATGACCGTCAGCTACTAGACTTGGAACGATTTTGTACGAATCCATGCAAGCCCGGAATATTGAGCGTCGACACTACTTACAACTGTGGGGAGTTCTACGTAACACCAACCACATACCGGCATCAGCTGCTCTTGTCGAAGAGAACAGGCAAGCACCCAGTGTTACTTGGGCCTACACTTATTCACAAGCATCGAGATCAGGAAGCCTTCAGTTATCTCGCAAGCTCCATGACAAGACTTAAGCCATCACTAGCGCGAATTTTAGGTGTCGGTTGTGACAGAGACAAAGCGATTAAGAACGGACTGACGCCCCATTTTCCTTGTGCCGTTTTCCTGGCTTGTAAAAAGCACTTTGAGGATGATATTCAGCGGAAGCTTACAGATCTTGGTGTGAATGGTAATGAGAGGAAGGAAATTGTTGCTGATATCTTTGGCTCCGGTGACGCGAGAGGGGGTTTGATTGACCGAGCCACCGAGGCTGACTTTGAAAAAGACCTGGCAGAATTGGAGCAAGTATGGAACGAGCGTGAAAAGGCCGCCAGACAAACCAGTAGACCAGAATTCCATTCATGGTTTGTGCGTTACCAAGCCAAAGACATGAAAGAGATGCTTCTCTATCCAGTTAGGCGAGATATGGGTTTAGGATACGATTTCTACTACAGTAATGACCCCGAATCAGTGCATCGCAATATTAAGGCAAGGCAAAACTACAAGGCCACGGAAATGCCAACAGTTGTTGAAAACATTCGAAAGGAAAAGAACGCCAATCTCTGTTATGTGGAAGATGCCATAATTGGTAACGGACCCTTTGAAATAGCTCCAGGGTTCGAACATTTTAAGGTTGATGAACACTCTTGGACATATGATTGGTCGGAAGAGAAAAGGCAAAAGCATTTAAGGGAGTTCCATGAAGCCCTTCCAGTCGTAACCACGGTGCCAAGAGGAGGCATTTACAGCCAGCAAAATGAACTGGGACTTGAAGAAAGTGGGGAAGGACGTCAACAAGACCCTGAAGGTGGGGAAACTCCCCTTCAAGAAACGAGGGAAGTGCGTGAGGAGACTTCAACAGCACATTCACTCTCCATTCCTTTTTGTGAAACTGGCTTATCTTCAGTTTTCTTACCATCATACAACAAAGCTGCTTGCTTGCTTCTTAGCAGCACTAACATCATGGAAGCTCCGGGAGATCATAAAGGTTTTCTTGTTGCAAGTGATACGGGGGCAACTCCTTATTTTGTAGCGGTAAAGAAAAACGGAGTCTGCATTTGTCAGTGTAAAGGTTTTAAAACTGCCTCTCTTTGTTCTCATTCACTTGCTGTTGCGGATCACGTTGCCAAACTGCACGAGTACCTTTCCTGGTGTCATTCTCGCGGTGGTCCAAACATCACTGCAGCAGCGTCTACGTCCGCACCCAAGAATGGGGGGAAAAAGCCTGGCCAAAAGTCTCGCATTCGTCGAACCGGGGCCATCGCATCATCAAGAAATGATGACAGCTACGCAGATAGGCGTCCGTACGTGGAGACTGCAAGTGTCGAAAATGAGCAGCAATACCACCTTAAATGGCTAGACAAGATGACGGCTAGAGTATGCTATGGTTGCGGAGGAAAACTTCGACCTTCTGATTCTAGTGTGCCCCCTCCTCCATTTGACGTGGTAGTGTCAACTAAAGAGTATCGTTCTTGGTATGACAAGTCAACAGGAACAACAAAAATTACGAAGAAACCGGAGGCCACCCACTACCACCTAAATCCAGTTTGTCTCCGGGCAAAAAATGTCCACTTCCAAGCATCGCTTCATGTAAGCATCAATTCCGAAGATCGCCAAAGGATGCTTGATGTCCACAAGAATTTTTTAAAGCAGTCTTTGAACATCACCATTATCTAAGACCGAAAGGACATTAACGTTTTGTTACCACTTAACAAACATATTTCATGACAATGATATGTGCAGTTTTAATGTTCTAAACACAAGGAGAGAGGACGATGGATTTACCTTTATGAGCTTTTCCCCCCTCTGGACAAAGTGAATGTAAACAAACAATTTGTGTTCAAAGGATTCCAATAAGCTTGCACCTAGTCTGGGAGGTACTCCCATACATAGGCTGTGTGCCGCCTGGTAGGGAATGGTTTATGCTCAAATCGGGTTACATTTTTACCCATTGTTACTATTTAGTTTTTAATTTTCCCCTTGACAAGGGTGTCATTTTCGGAATTGAGCCTTAAATAGGTTATCAATCTATGTTCGTCTCATATTTAATAGTGTCAGGGTTAAGACCCTGGGCGGCACACACCTATTCGAAATTTATGAGATTATCCCCCCCCCCTCTCCCCAGCATGTCAAAGTTTGGAATAATATATAATGGTTACGTTCCTGTTATTGAAGTTCTAACCTTTCAATTCCTTGTCATTTCATGAATAAAAAGTTTATGTTAACTGATACATTTCAAGTTTACATTCCTTGGAACATCAGATCAGCTTAACATTCCTGTGACTTGGATACGCCGATGTATCTCGACACAATTCAGGACAATTTGACCTGTACAGCTAAAGAAAAGTGCTAGCAGCAGCTCGCCAAGACATGACGTTAAGTAATCTACACCTGTCTTACCAGTCCGTAAACAACCCCATTACCCCTTCATGTTGCAAAACATTAAGATAAAACGTCCTAACAATAGGCTTGAAATCGTTCAATTGAGCTGCTTTCTACAGCCCAAAATGTACCAGGCGCTCTTACCGATCGATAAGTCGATGTGAAGATTTTTACTCATTTCCTGCAGTACTGCTTCTTCTTCTTTTTTTCTCAAAACTAGGAATGTCTTTTCCTTACTTAGTATGCTTTCTTCAGGAAACAATAGCTCGGGTTCCCGATGAGAAAAAGAGAAACGAGCCATACCATCGCCATGTTTTCTTTTACTTTCTTAGAAGCCTGGGGACAAGGTGTTTCGGTGTCAGTCATATCACAGGGTACCCACAGCCACAAAAGCCTCCTCGAAATAAGGATTTCTATGGGAATTAATCGTAATATTCATAAAAAGTTGAAAATTCACGTAAACTGCCATTTAAGATACATACCTCAGAAAGACATGTAAAAAAACGTCATTTTTAGCAAGTTTTGATGTTTTATCGATAAACTCCGGCCCTCATACTAATCATATACGTAATTTAGCTTAGGAGGCTGTTGTGAGTCTAGGTGCTGACAATTTATAGTCTGCAGTCTGCGGTCCGCAGTCTGCAGTCTGCAAATGTCATACACCGTGTATCTTTCCAGTGTTTTTGTTAATGTTCCTTAAAGCTTCTTGAACCTGTATTAAATAGGTCAAACTAAGCCGTCATTTTGCCCCTTCCCAAAGGGTGACCACAGCAATTATAAAGGTTGGATTGGCATTTTGAACTTCTGAAGGAAATTCTCTTTAACCCTTTTACCCCTAGCACAGGGCTCAAAGTTTAAATTTGAGTTTGGGAGCAGTTGTGCTACCAGATATAACTCTGGGGTTAAGGGGTTAATCTACAAATTTAGGCAGGTGAAAAACTAGAGCTAAATTGGGTTGGAAGGCACAATACAATGGGTACTATTGTCATTCATGAGGTGGAGGTGTTCACTGTTGACCCTTCCAAGTTCTGTAGTGGCTTCCAAACAACATCCCGAGGTACTAATAAATCCTCCTGTCATTACCATTTCAGTTGGTTTTTATTTTATACTACATCAAGAGAGAATGAGGTACCTCATTAAAAATTCACGTGTGCTTTGGTTTCGTTTTGATGTCATTTATGTCTCACTCAAAAAAAAAAAGGTGGCTTGAAAAATTAACTCCTGCAATGCAAAAAAAAAAAATGACGTTCCACGCTTATTGTCAGTTATTGTCACCACCTCATATGCCCATGAGATGGTACAGTAATTTATTACATGCATACATTTTTTTGTGGTGGCTGAGGTAGCAAATACAAATAAAATCTTCCTTATGTTGTTACATAAATTTCTTCCTTGACCGTGCACGTTTTTTTTCTCAAACAAAGAAATAAGTAAAATGAAATAAAAGTTAACTATTGAACCTAAAGTGTCACGAGTGTCGTGTATCTGACCGATCAATAGTAATTTATGCAGGATTTGCACACCAAAACCATTCAAACCAATTTTACGCCTAATTCTGCATGTCCACCTACTTCAGTCATTTCAGTTTTGTAATGTATAATTTTAATGTAATTTTTTTAATAGCAAATCGTCGTTGCATCATTCAAATGCACGTTTCTTTGATAATTACCCTGCATGCTGCAGGAACGGCAATTGTATTAGCGGCAGCCCTGTGTCTGGAGCGATGTCTTTGGCCAGGAGCTTCTCGCTCATTTAACCTTTGCTCAATCCTTTGCAGGACTTGCGCTTGATTTCTTCTAGCTGCCTCGTGTTCCCGCCGCAGCTTCTCATTTTCTGCGGCGAGTTTTCGGTTACTTTGGATTAGTTCTTCTAGTAGCACAACACAATCTTCAGCTGATCGACCTTCCATAGTGAACCGCTTTCTAGCTGCACAATAACAATAAAAAATTCCGAAGAACTACAAGCTTTCTAGCTGTACGATAAGAATTATAAATTCCGAGAAAAAAAGTATTGATGCAAGGCGTAAGCGCTAAAGATCTAGCCTTTTGAAACCGACAAACGAACTCTCAACAGTTGAAGGCGAAGGAGTCTAGAGGATTTGCCCACTATTTTTCGAATATTTATATATTTGGTCCCCTGTTGTGCCAGTGCCTCGCTCTGATCTTTTGTCGCTGACCAGTAACACAATGGCTCAAACTGGCGTCACTGGTGGGAGATCGGCGGGAAAATCACAGTGTTAAACATCGTTGAAAGCGTGTGGGCTTGTAATTTTGGAATCGAAAGGTAATTTTTACGTAGTTCTATTTATCGTTAATGTATAAATAGCGATACATGTTTAATAATTACAGAAAAAAAACCTACAGAGCGGTGTATTTAATGTAATTTAAGCTGACATCGATTTTCTCTACAAGCTCTACCATCAGCTCAGGTTATTCATCTGGAATTGGTAAGCAGAAAATGCTCAAGCTTTAATACACAAAATTTACCTAGAAAAGCGAGTTGCGAGACTTAAGGCCGCCTTCATGCAAATGATTTTGTATTCACTCTCGTACTCATAGCTCATTTTCATTTCAATGCAAGGCACGCGGTGGATAAGTATGCAACCTGAAACTTAATAATAAAAATCAGGGGCGGATCTAGGGGGAGGGTGCAGGGGTGTGCACCCCACTCCCCTGAGATGAGCTGCGGCTTTCTCATACAACTGGTATTCTGCACCCCTCCTAAGAAAAATCCTGGATCCACCCCTGAAAATCATAAATAACAATGATCAGAGTTACAATGTAAGGTTGTTAATCTTATTTCAGAAATCTAAAGAATTGGCAATTTTCAGAATGTGTGAGTGAGGCAGTAATTTGGCGCATTTTTTTTCCTGACTTGTACTTTATGTGTTTGTGATTCAATACTACGTTTTAAACTCAGTCCGGGGTCTGCTCAAAAGCAATTTTTTTAAACAATAGAAATAATTAGCATAATAAGATTCATTTTAGTGTCAGTATCTGCTTAAAAGACCTATCCACTAGATACGAGTTTGTTTTTAAGGTAAAAAGGCACTTTTTGGGATCAAACCAGAAATATAGTATGTCCTTTTTATAGAGGTTTCTCTGTAGTATCAACATAGATATACCAACTCATATACATCCTGTGTAGTTTCCCCATGGAGTTATTATATTTTATATTAATTATAGATGGGAAAACACAACAAAGTGAACCATAACAACTATCTGAAAAGACGAAAAAGGAGACTTAAAAGAAGGAGGAATGAAGGAATGTGCTCTGCAGCTTTTAGCAAGGAGGAGCATAATCATGGTGGCTTGGATGTTATCCATACAGACAAATATGACAATCAGGACCTGAGTGATCATAGCTTGACAAATGACCTGGACACTTCTGATAATGAAAGTGAGAATCAAAGTGCTTGTGGCACTTCCGATACCAACAGTTAGGAGCAGAGTGATAATGTCCTTTCACCTGCTAGCAGTGAAAGGATCAGTGAGAGTAATTATTACCTTGATATTAATGACCCCAAAGTGATAAAACTCTTTGAACAACTAAAACCAAGTAAGGATCCACTATGGGTGAATTTTTTTTTGTTCCAAAGAAATAAAAGGAAGCTCTTAAAGCTACTGGAAAACCCACTTGCAATAAAATGAGGTAAGAGCTGATGCAACAGTAATCAGGGCTGTCATTAAGGGCCAGGATTTTTCCAAGCTATTATGAATGTGGCTAGTTTAAAAATGAAAATAAAAAGAAATCCTTAGCTGTCTGATTCCTTGCGTCTTTGTTTTATTTACCCAGCAACTTCAAAACTTAGTGACAGTCCTAAGTAATGTTAATACTTCTGATAAATATTAGCTACAGCTGTATGTTTAGTGGCCACATCCTCAACCCATACCAGTTTAAATCAAGCTTTTCTCTTGTACTCACTCATCACTTTCTCATATAAGGGGTATCTTCTTGGAGAGCCTATACTCGAAAAACATTAACTTTACGAATATGTCTTGCAAGGCACTATTTTTATATATCATGTGTATGTGTGATGAAATCATAAATACCGTAAATAGCCAATTAATTTTTCTTTTATTATTTTTTTAATTTTTCTTTTATGATAGTATTCAATATATAGTTGTTGTTCCGTTCTTTCTTACTTAACTTTTACTTTACTTTGTTTCATTTGTCATTGATTGTTTTGGTACTGAAATCTCCATGTCGAAGATAAAGTCAATAAAGTTGTTGTATTCTTAAAACAAAAAGAAATGTATGGTGGCCAAAGATGTGAACCTTCAAAAACCAAAATGTCCTGGATATGAGTCTTAAGCAAAACTTACCCATAATTATTTCACCATCACCAAAACAAAGACAGGTTGCCAGGGCCACCAGGTGCTGAACATGTGAGACTTAATTGCTTATGGTGCAGAATGCAAGTGACGGCTTTTAGTCAGATCTTTGAGTTTCTGCACCCTTTCCAGTGAACACATATTAAGTGGCAGATTTTGTGTTACTTGAATAACATGGTGCTTTCAATGACAGTGGCCATAGCTTTCTAGAGATTTAACAATTATGATGTGAGATTTTATGCTTATGGTGCAGAATGCGAGTGACGGCTTTTAGTCAGATCTTTGAGTTTCTGCACCCTTTCCAGTGAACAATTATATCATGTGAGATTTTATTGCTTATGGTGCAGAATGCGAGTGACGGCTTTTTGCCAGATCTTTGAGTTTCTGCACCTTTTCCAGTGAACACATATTAAGCGGCAGATTTTGTGTTACTTGAATAACATGGTTCTTTCAATGACAGTGGCCATAGCTTTCTAGAGATTTAACAATTATGATGTGGCATTTTATGCTTATGGTGCAGAATGCGAGTGACGGCTTTTTGTCAGATCTTTGAGTTTCTCTCGGTTTCTCTGGTGCCCGCCATTTTACCTGCACCTTTTCCAGTGAACACATATTAAGTGGCAGATTTTGTGTTGAATAACATGGTGCTTTCAATGACAGTGGCCATAGCTTTCTAGAGATTTAACAATTATGATGTGGCATTTTATGCTTATGGTGCAGAATGCGAGTGACGGCTTTTTGTCAGATCTTTGAGTTTCTCTCGGTTTTTCTGATGCTTTTAGTCAGATCTTTGAGTTTCTGCACCCTTTCCAGTGAACAATTATATGATGTAAGATTTTATTGCTTATGGTGCAGAATGCGAGTGACGGCTTTTTGTCAGATCTTTGAGTTTCTGCACCTTTTCCAGTGAACACATATTGAGCGGCAGATTTTGTGTTATTTGAATAACATGGTGCTTTCAATGACAGTGGCCACAGCTTTCTAGAGATTTTATGCTTATGGTGCAGAATGCGAGTGACGGCTTTTAGTCAGATCTTTGAGTTTCTGCACCTTTTCCAGTGAACACATATTAAGCGGCAGATTTTGTGTTACTTGAATAACATGGTGCTTTCAATGACAGTGGCCATAGCTTTCTAGAGACTTAACAGTTACATGATGTGAGATTTTATTGCTTATGGTGCAGAATGCGAATGACGGCCTTTAGTCAGATCTTTGAGTTTCTGCACCCTTTCCAGTGAACACATGAAGTGGCAAATTTTGTGTTACTTAAATAACATGGTGCTTTCAATGACAGTGGCCGTAGCTTTCTAGAGATTTAACAATTATATGATGTGAGGTTTTATTGCTTATGGTGCAGAATGGGAGTGACAGCTTCTAGTCAGATCTTTGAGTTTCTGCACCCTTTCCAGTGAACACATATTAAGCAGCAGATTTTGTATCACTTGAATGACTAATTGCACACAAATGGTTCTTTCAATGACAGTAGCCATAGCTTTCTAGAGTTTTGACAATTATGATGTGAGGTTTTATTTTTTCTTTGGCACAGGGTTATGCAGCAGGCGATGGAGTGTCCACTGATATCAGGCGAAAAGACTTGCTTTAGTTTTCTTTCAGGAATTCACAGTTGCTGCTTTGGTACTGAGATGAACTTTCAGTGACATTGTGTGACAAAAAGATAATAAAAAAGCAATTCATGATAACACCAGTTAATTTAGTAGTATTATTCATTAGTTTTGAATGATGCTAATAATTGTATGTATGTAAAAGTAGAAATCATCTTGCCACTTGTTACCTAGCTATACTGTAAAGCGTCAAATGAAAGCCCTGGGTGTGTTCTGGATTTTTCTTATGAGCTTCGCAACAATTGTTATTACAGTTGAACATTCGTGTTGATGGGAGCCATCACAACTTGTTTTTGTCCCTCTACATCCACTTCAGCTGAGGTGAATCTTGAAAATATCCTTTGGACTGGCATAAACGCCGACGGTCCTCCTGGATAGAATTTGTTTTTATAGACCCTGATTGGGTTGCCATATAGAGTAGTGGATTCCTCATGTGGTATATACCATCTGATACAGGAGAAGAAATGTGATAAATGCTCACCTCCCAACTGAACTGAATGCCTAAAATAATAACGTACAGTCCCAGCAGACAAACAAAACCGGTCCTGCAGGACTTGCCCATTGTCTGGCGGCCAGGACGCTAAAATCTTACTGGACCGAATTCCTCTAGATTGCATCTTTGATCCATAAGTAACGGAGGAAAGTTTGATTGCTCCAAATTTCTGTATACCCTCGGCTAGGTGGGCCAATTCAATGTCTCTCTCTGGATACATTACTTCGTAAACTTGCTTTAACAATTGTGCGTCATCCCCATCCAAATGTGCAAGTTTGTAACTGGGGGGGTCAGTGGCGCCAGAACAATTTCTCCAGTTTACGCCTTGGAGAGGCACCTTTGTGGCAATGTTTGCAAATTCGTATTTTACGCGCCAGTTGAGGGAATTAGCGCCGACTTCCTCTGTAGATTCACTGTCGGAAATACGGCAAGGTGAGCATAAAGTCACAAATTCATCTTGGTACTGATTTGGTAACTTTATGTCTCTCAATTGTCTTGATATCGAGAGTTTTCTCATGAGCTGCAACTTAACAGATCTCTTATTAGTTGATGTGCTGCCCATAAGGCCATTAAACCGTTCAAAACTGAAACACCAGAAGCTTACTGATTACTGTGGTTATTGATCCGTGGTCGAGAATGATTTCTTTTACATGGTTATGCAAGTGCATATTTGGAGTTATCGTATGTTTTCCATATAGAGTCTCCACTGACTTGCAGAATTTAAGCAATAACCCGTCAGCAATTTCAAGGTCAGTTTTAGAAATCACTGTTTGACAAAGGTATTTACATGCTAGCACAAACGTTTGCCAACATCGGAAATGCTCCTGTGGTAAGATACCTTTAAGGCAATAAATTAGTGTCCAATGTTTCCATTGCTCTGCCGTGTACGAACTGGAATTGCTTGATATTCTCATAGGCAGTCATTCGATATCGCTAGGCACTTCCCTGGATCTTATCCTCTCTTCAATTTCTGTAAGCTGACTCTTTGAAAATAATTTCTGGTCATTCCACAGCTGGCACATTTTCGTTGACGTACCAAGAAAAAGGTTATTCATCGGATCTAAGGTGCAGAATCTTATAATATCAAAATATTCGAGTTCCCATAGAACACTGTAGTGACTGATACCACTTTTCTGGCAGATTAAATTTCGCTCTTGTTTTGTTTTGCTCCTGGCAATTTTCATAGCTTGACGTCGATGTTCCTCATTGGTACGGGGATTCCAACGGATTCTATCGAATCCTGAGTAATCCCTTTTTTCACCAAAGCCACCGGGAAACTTTTTTAGGCATCGAGAACACCCAAGCAATGCCGAATGGCTCTTGAACCCACAAATTTTTCTAGTGGCAGGATAAGCCTAGATACAAATATCGCGATATTTTTTTAGATATTTAGAAGTTTTTGAGAAATTTAGAAAATGCTGAGAAATTTAGAAAAAAAAAATTAAAATTTAGAGCAATTATCACAAAAAAGATTCTTCATAAGAACAAAAAAAAACGGTTATATTAATTTCGTGTCCTTTTACAAGCCAGCGATACTACCAATTCAGCAGATTTATTCTGCAGTACAATAAGATGCACCATATACAAAGTACCTACCAATTAATTCGACGACACGTGGAATCAATCAGTCAACATGGCGGAAGTCATCGAAGTGGAAATTGAACAGGCGAGTGAACAAGAACAAAGAGGAAGAGAAGATGAGGTTGTTTCAGTTTTGTCACGCCTACAACCGCCTGTTGCAAGTGATTTATCTCGAAAAAGAAAATTGGTAACCAACCCTGGAAAAGGAAACCGAAGATCAAAGTCAAGTTCACCCAATTTAACTGCAGCAAAAAGCGAGCCAAAATCAATCTCAGCTAAAGACAGAGCCAAAGAATTTAAAGATGAGCCATTCACCGCACAGGCAAACGGGGGACTTTTTTGCACGGCTTGTCGTGAGCTAGTTTCTCTGAAGAAACAGAATGTAGATGTTCATATTTCAAGCAAAAAACACAAGGAGAACAAAGAAAAGCGGTTGCTGAATGACAAGAAAGACGACGACATTAGAAAGGCCATTGCAAAGTATGACGATAAGAACCATCCAAAGGGAGAAACGCTTCCTTCTACAACAAGATTATTCAGGGTGAAATTTGTTAAAGCGTTCTTGAAGAGTGGTACACCTTTGAGCAGGGCAGAATATTTCAGAGATCTATTTGAGGAGGTGGGATACCCACTTACTTCAAGTTCGAACATGAGACAACTTATTCCTTTCATCCTCGAACAAGAATACGAATGCATTTGCCAAGAAGTGAAGGGAAAAGATCTTGCCATCATATTTGGTGGAACTACGCGAGATCGGGAAGCATTAGTTGCTCTGGTTCGTTTTGTGGAATCATGGACAATAAAGCAGAGGCTTGTGAGATTGAGACTTTTAAAAAGTTCTTTTAACGGTGACGAGCTACAGTCTCAGACAAAAATAGTTGGGACACTTAGACCAAACGCTGTTTTTTTCCTTCTCGTGCTCCCCTTGTCCTTCTCAAAGTTGTTTATCACGGTTCAGTCACCAAACCTTGTACACCAACATTGAGGGGACAAGGAGACACGAAAGTGTCCCAACAATTTTGACTGAGACTGTGTTTTAGCGGAATTTTAGGTATGTGACTCCTTGTTGGCTCTAGTGGCGGGAAATAGCCAGTCAGGTATATACACGTTTCGGAGCCATTTTTTCGGGAGAAAATGAGAGATTTCAAGGAGAAAAAGAGAGAAGACAATCAATAGGGGAAAGAAGTGTTTGTTTCTTTAATCACAACATTCCAAGGTTTTAAAAAAGCTTTGAATGTATTGGGTTCTAACAGTGAACAACGGATGAGTCAAAATTGCGCGCATTATTTTGCAGGGGATGTATCTTGCTCCTAAAATGTCGTACCGGTGGTGACAACGATTGGACGGGTCACCGTACTATCCAGGGCGTTTTCTAAGACCTCTCTGGTATATATAATGGAATAAGAAAGAAAAGGATAAGGTTATTTCACACCTAATTAAAATTGCCAAGGTTTATAGAGCCTTGATACATGTAAGACAAGTTATGAAGACTTTGATCATGGTGACCCGATTGTTCACTGAACGAAACCTACAAATATCTTAATTGAATCAGAACGGTGACCCGTGTACACATCGAGTATAACACTTTTTTTGAGGTTTTAAGGATATGTATTGTCCTCGTTTTACTATGATTCATGTTTTGTACCTTAATTCCCATATTTTTGGCACAAGTGTTTGTTGTATAGCTATTCAGGAAGGTGTATATTTGGGGTAAAGAATGAGAACGGATGTCACCATTTGGCGCAAGGCCAAATTAACATACGTTGTAAACAACGTTTAAAACGTTGTTGATTTTACAGCAGTATCCTGGAATGTCATGAAGAAACTTTTGGGCGTTTTTTACCAAACACTATTGCAGCCGCGACACCCTTTTTACGCGCTTGTAGTCAATAGCATCTCTAGCAATTTAGAAAGTGGGATACTGTTCTCGCTGATACGTCTTGGGAATAATCCTGGCTTGTTGCATTTTACAGTTTGGAGGAATAGTTTCCCCCTTTTTCTCGAAATCGCTTAATGGCTCTTCTGAACTGTCTATCGCCTCTTGCCCTTAACTTAGAGAGGCATCTCTTTGGGCCTTGTTCCTTACACTCTTTTTTGGCAAAGAGGCCTTCTTTTTTTTTGCTCCACACATTTTCTCTTGAAATGTGGCACATTCGAGCGACTCTCCGTATGTGAAAGCCCTAAATTTTAGGCAGATAGTATGCACGTGCTATAATTGTCATGCTATCAATCACTCACTTAAAAGCTATTTGTGTACCGTTTATTGTACACTCAGTTCCTTTTATTTTCCAATACTCTACTTCCCCAAAAAATTTCTGCGAACTGGACATTCTTTGTGTTATTGTGTTATGCCAAAATAAGTCAGTTCACTGCTATAGATACGTTTGCGAAACACAATGGACGTCCCAACAAACCAAAACCCAGCGGTTGTGACCGACCTAGAGATTAACCTTGGTATCTGTCAACACGCCTTCAAATTCCTCCCCGACACAGTCTCAGACAAAAATAGTTGGGACACTTAGACCAAACGCTGTTTTTTTCCTTCTCGTGCTCCCCTTGTCCCTCTCAAAGTTGTTTATCATGGTTCAGTCACCAAACCTTGTACACCAACATTGAGGGGACAAGGAGACACGAAAGTGTCCCAACAATTTTGACTGAGACTGTAGCTCGCATAATTATCGAGGTGTTGCACAGAAAAATCAATATTCAAGAGAACAGTCTTTTTTATTTTTTTAGCAGTCTTTTAGCAGCGATGAGAGACAGAGCTTCTGTTAACACGAAAGCTCTGCAGACGGTGTCTGTGCTTTATCCTGATATGATTGATATTGGATGTGTTTCACATTTCCTGAACAAAGTGGGAGAGAAATGCCACACACCAACACTCAAGCTATTTATGGCAACATGGAATCTCATATTCAGCACCAGTATTAGAGCTAGAAATATTTGGAGAGGCATAAGTGGACGGTCAATGCCAAGGTACAATTCCACAAAATGGTGGAGTTATTGGGAGTGTGCAATGGTAGTGCTTCAAGAATGGCAGCATATCAGAACTTTTTTAACGAGCAATGAAGATTTTGCAAAGACCTCAAGACAACGACTACTCCAGATATTTGATGTGAACACAAATAAGCTTAAGATTGAGCTAGCGTCAGTGATGGAAATGGAGGAATTTGTGAAGTCTACATACACTCTTGAAGGTGATGGAACATTGATTTTGATTGCCTATGAGAAGCTTCAAATGCTGCAGGCATTTATCAGAGTCCGCAACTTCCCTACTCTTACCTGTGTGGTACAGCAGCTGTTTCCTCTGAATGTTGCAGAACAGCAAAGATGGTACAACTATGGCTTTAGAGAATGCTTGATGCCAGCTTTTGAATACTATACCAACACATCAGCAAATGATGCCACAGTCTCGCGTTCTATCCAAGTGTTCCAAGCTGCTCAGCTTTTTAGCCCAAAGTTTGTCAGAGTGTCAGAACCAGATGCTGAAACAGTAGATCAAATCAGAGCTGTCCCCTTTCTTAGCAACAATGAAGTCATTCAGTCTCTGAAAGATGAACTGCCAACCTACATTGTGAAGGCATCTCAAATTCCTGATGAATTTGATACTTTGTCAGATTCTTGGTCCTGGTGGAAGTCAGTAGCTCGAGAACTACCAGCGTGGTCTTCAGCGATACAGAAGCTAGTAGTTGTACAGCCATCATCTGCAGCAGCTGAAAGAGCTTTTTCCATGCTTACAACTATGTTTGGTGAACAACATGATGCGCTGGAAGATTACATTGAAACTTCTTTGATGCTGCGAGTAAATGATCGCTGAGATTATTTACATGTAAGTAAGAAGTATGGGGGGACTTATATATTTAAGTTGTTAGACTGATCATTATTATGTTATTAACAACATGCCTAGTTGCACGCAAAACTTTGTTTGAAAAGTTGTTGTTTGAAATACATAACAGTCAGATAACACTGTCTTTTAAGATGTTGTAATTCAATAAACTCTTTAACTGTTTATTGCTGTGTTCTGGGATCCGTGTTCTGGCAAAGCACTTATGGCAAATTGCAATATTTAATTAATAAACAGAAATTGATGAATCGAGTTGCTTAGATGTTTTTATTTACTTATTATACCTTAAAATAAACCAGCCCTGCAATATACATCTTTTGCTATTCAAATAATAATGTATATATTTTTTTCATTTCTTTAACTGATATAAAGCCAAAAATGGGTCAAATTAACATTAGAAAAAAATGATATTTCTGAGAAATGTAGAAGATTTTTTAAGAAATTTAGGAATTTTATGAGAATTTCTAGAAAGAAATTTAGAACATTTTTTGCGATATTTGTATCTAGGCCTATCTCGAGACAGCATCTTGGGTAATATCCCGCTCCAGACTTCCTCAGAATCAGACGCAGAGGTAGATAAGTTTTCATCACTACATTTATGCCTTTCTTGTGGGCAGCTTTCACTGTCAGTGTCACTCTCAGAACGAATTTCGTTTTCCGCAGAATCATCGTTGTTTGGCTTTGAAAACAGGGAAAAACAAATATGCAGTCAATGCAAACATCATAAGAAAAATTGTGTTTATATTCAATATCTCCTGTAGAACTGATTCGAAAATAAATTTTTATCCACCATAAATGGCGACTTTTGTTTCCGATTATCAAAAGACACTTCTACAGACGCTGCATTTACTCAAAGCGGGCTTCTAAAAACAAGCAGTGCCACGTGCAACATTTGCCTTGTTGTTTAATTAAAGTTTTCAGGCTGAACCTCCAAATGCCTCACCTCTTCAACTTCTGCCATGGATGATGTATTTGAAGACAATTTATAGGCGACAAAGGCTTCTTCAATAACATTATGAAAGTTAGAAAAAGAAAAATCCGGAATTTTTGCGGTTTATTTGGAAGGGATATGTAGCTTATTTGTGTGATTCCTGTGGGGGGAATCACTTTGGGGCAATTATGTAATTTTTGCGATCCCAACTTAGTCACATTCTATTTACATAAGTACCTGATCAACCCTTTATGCTACCCTATTATAGTCAATCCAGTCCTGAAAATGCGACCCCATCCAGCACATCCTTATTAGCGTCTTATAAGGAAGTACCCGCCCCCGTACCATTACTGATTAGTGCAAAGAAAAAAAGGCTAAAGGTCACAGAGGTGCATTTTGTGCTCACCTTCATTGTCTCCTGATGGCCCATCTCTATCCTTCCTGATTGTGGAATTGCTGCAGGATAATTTCTGGGCAACAGAGGTTTCTTCGAGGACAAATTCTGCACGTTTTTTTTTTAAAAAAAGCAATTGGTCATTTCGTAATTCTGCGGTTGACAGGAATGGTGAAACAAGAGCTCATTTGTTTGAATGCGACAATAATTGCATAAATGTTATTTGCGTGGTCACTGCATGCTCACCGGTAATGGAGCGACTTGGTCAGTTTGCCTTGATTCTTCTAAATATCTTTTCCTTTCGTGCCTCTTAAAAGTTGAACGTGATACCACGCTATCACAGTGAGAACAGTAGACATATCCTTTACTTATTTCTTTTTGATTCTGTTGATTCATAATTTGTACCAAGAGAGAATGCTCTCTTGTTTCTTCACAAAAACAAAGTAGTATAATTGGCCTGACCCAGATCTAGAGTAACGATTTAGCTACAATGCGCCCCTTGCGATCGAATAAAGATAGAATTGAACTGAGTAGACAATTGAATAGACCCAATAGACCGTATATCCTACGGCTGCAGCGAGCGAGCGAGTGCACGTGGTTTGTCTTGACCCAAAAGCTCAACTTACTGTCACTTAAAATTATTAATTTTTAAGAATCACAATGTTTTGTTAAGCTTTAATTAAGTATCCCGAAAGACTCTGAAATACAACCGTTCTTTCGGCGTTACCTTTACGAATGTTTAAGTTCAAATTAAAGATGAAGAAAGATCTAAGATCATTTAAATTTGCTTTAATTTGAAATCAAAGGTGCTACAATTTAATAGCTAATTTTGGAATAAATTAAAAACAATTAAAACGAGACCTAAAGGTTTTTAGTCTTTAATGTAACCAAAAGGTCAATACTCCGATATCACTTTCCGCCATCTTGGATTGCGTGCCGCACCAAAGCGAGGCTGGACGGGCACCCGCTAACAAGTCAACATGGCGGAAGGATTGTTGTCTGCTGCGTGGTCGAAATCTCTCAAAGGTATTCCGTATTTTGACTCATCTTTCATCAAGAAATGGCTTGAGAAGGACGGTAAAGTCCCCAAAAAAGTAATAACTCGTGGTTATAGTAATTTCTGCGAGGGTTATATCTTTGATGTCGAAGGTAAGTTTCAGTCCCGTTGATTTGGTTTTGCTCTGGCCATAGGTTAGGGTTAGGGTTAGGGTTAATGCTCTGGCTGAGAAATTGTACGCGAACAGTGGTGTGATTCCCATTATTTATGCTGTTTTGGGCATCATATATTGTGTTTCTCCTTCGATTATGCCTTGATTCGATGATTGAAATCCCTGTGATATAATCTATAGTGTGTAGTGTATTAAACTTTCATATTCGCCCTTTACTTTCAGTAAAAACTCAAGACACAGAAGTCCTCGTAAGGGCTAAAAGTTATAAATCCCAGCGGAAAAATGAGGAGCCATGGAGGTTACAGGTATTGTTACTGCCTTATTGCTTCGTCTGAGCTCAAGCCAATCTAGGAAAAATATCTTAAGTGTACTTTCTGGTTTCTGTTTGTTTGTTTGTTTGTTCTTTTTTTTACAGTTAGTTTGTTGCTGTTTATTGATTTGCTGGGCACTATTTAAAAAAATGGGATTGAGTAAAAAATAAAATTAAGAACGTTTTGCACACATTGCAAATCAGATATAAATACATATCAATTGTTTCTTTAGGTGAGAATATCAAGGGATGCAGAAGTTAAAATAACCAGTACCTCATGCAACTGTGAGGCAGGAGCAGGTCTCTGCAATCATGCAATAGGCCTGGTATACCTCCTTGAACACTACAGAAAACTTGGTTTAAGAAGTGTACCTCCCGTCATGTCTAAAACAAGTCTTCCACAGACATGGCATGTTCCACAAAGGACAGCAGGAATTAATCCCCGTGAGGTACAAGAGGTGCTAGTGTAACAGGTAAAACCTCCAAGCAGTGATGCTCCTTCAAGAAAGAAAGTACGCAGGATAGATGGTGTACGGTCCACCCTGTACAACCCAATTCCAGAACAATTTGGGGAACCTAAAATTATAGATTCCATGAAGGACATATTCAAAGTATATAAAGACATGCAAATAAATAGCATTGTTCCCGAAACGAACAGATATGACTTTGTGGACAATAATCTCGGAAAGGTAGTTTGTGGCTCAGTTATCTCATACCAGCAGCGCCAAAACACAACAAATGACCCCAAAATTCACATGAACATTGACGGGCCAGAAAATCCACCAGCTTTTGATGTGCCATCACTTGAAAACCATTATTTATTTGTTCCCAAATTGGCAGAAATAAACTTTATTGAAGGACTCAGTGTATCACTAGAACAATCTTGTTTATATGAGGAAGAGACAAGGGAGCAATCTGACACACAGAAGTGGCATGACTTGAGGGCACAGAGATTATCTTCCAGTAAATTTAAAGATGTGTGTATACGAAGAGCTGACTTTGAATCATTGGCAGTCAGACAACTGAAGAAGACTGTGCAAACTTCGGCAATGAAGCATGGCATAAATACAGAAGAAGAGGCAGCTTCTGCATATGCTGACAGTGGAGATTGCAATGTTTTCCCTGCCGGGATTGTTATCAACCCGTCTTGCCCACACCTGGCTGCCTCTCCAGATCGAAGGGTCTATGATCCCTCTGAAAACAGTCCCTGGGGGCTGTTGGAAATCAAGTGCCCTATTAAGGATTCAATTTCTCAGCTGCCATATCTGAAATGTGTAAATGGAATTTATAAACTTAAAAAAACACATAGCTATTACTACCAGATAATGGGACAGATGTTGTTGACAGGTTGTGAATGGGTAGATTTTTATGTTTATTGTAAATCTGACTTTCATTTAGAAAGAGTGAGGTTTGATGCAGAATTTTGTGCAACGATGAAGATGAAATTAGACACGTTTTACTTTGAATACCTCCTCCCTGAACTGTTAAAAAAAGCAGGGGCTTAACCTGCCTTTTGAAGCACTGTTAAAAATAATGTCGAACATGCACCCAAAATTTCCATCTCCGTAGTGGAAGAGGTGTAAATATGTAATTATTTTCTGGAATCAAACAAATTGTAAACAAGTTTCCATGGTTAACTGTTACAACTGACATTACTGAACCGAGCTTTGCCAAGGAATGTGTAGTTCCTGAGAATGTCCATACTCTTCCCATAGAAGGGATTTGTAAATGCCTGGAGATGAAGGGGATGCAGGGTGGGGGGGGGAGGCATTTTTTTCAGAGGGTGGGAGATGGAAGTGGGTCTAAAAAAATCTCCTTTGTGAGGGAGGTATGGATAATTCAAAGATCTAAACAATACTGACAAGCAAGTTATAGTTTCAATATAGTGGACCTCGAAAGTTTGTAAGAAGACAACAAACTGTCCAAATTTGGTTTACCGAACCAGCCAACGAAAGTGGCAAAACTTTGTCAAAAATTTGATATTCTTTGATTCGTCTGATTGCTCGTTCAACATGTATACGAAGGCGGGCAATCTGTTGTGTTTCTGTTACTTCTTTGGAGGTGAACTGCATAGACCTTGTTTTAGACAAGAAAGGAGGGATTGTCAATGTAGCTTTTTTGGGTTCTAATAAATCCTGAATCAGGAAACCCTTATCTGCCATGACCTCGTCTCCTTCTTGGATTAGTGACAGAATACCACTGCGTCTTGTAATCTCTTTGTCTGATATACTTCCCTGATATAGGGAACTTATAAATGTTACAGCGCCATGAGGAGCAATACCAACTAGGCATTTTAAGGTGGTATGCGACTTGTATGCTGAGTAAAATTCTGAGTTTAGAACCTTGGAGCTAGGCCTTTGGACCTTGATTTCGGTACAGTCTAAAATGACTCTTGTTTTAGGGTATATGGTTTTGAAACACTCAGGCATACTATTTTTTATCTGAGCAGTTGTAGGCCAAATTGGCACTTGGCCAAGCATTGTATACAGAAAATTTGCCCAAGTTAAAATAATTCTGCTAACAGAACTCTTGCTAATATTGAATCTTACTCCCAAGTCTGTCTCCAGTAATCCTAATCTTAGTCTGATCATAAATAAAAAAAAAAATTGGTCATAGAGTGACAATGCCAAATTTCCACAGCTACGCCTTCTCTTGTAGTTTTCTTTTCCTCGTTGACGCTGAATCTGGGACCATTTTATCATAGTTTTTGCATATGGTTCAACCCAGCTATAAAAGCTATCGAATCGTTCTTTTGATACAAAGCCTGTGTAAAATGACAGCAGTTCAGGATCCTTGGAAATATTTTCAGCTCCAAACCTGGATCCTTTGAGATCTTCCACCTCTTCCTCTAAATCTTTGATTTTGGCTTTAAGGATTTCAATTTGTTCCTCTGCACTCAGTTCGGCAGGTTGAATGTTTTCATTTTCCAGTTCAGCATTCATTTCTTCCATTGGCTCAGCGCCAGCACTGGCTTCCTGCACTGTCACTTGTTCAGTCACTGGCTTTAATTCAACATCCTGGCAGAATGAATCGACAATTGATTGTCGCCGCCCCTCCTGTGCTTGCATTTCGTTTATTTCTTTTAAATTTTTGTAGTTTATTTTTGGGCGTTCGTTGCAGGCCTTGGTCCATTGAAACTGAGATGGCACAGCTCCTGCTTTAAGGCGTGTTCTCCCTGTTATACTTTTAAACATATCACTTGGCTTGAAGTGAGCAGAACACACTAGAGTACAGCCTTTCTTGATCTAGGAAACAAAGTTTAAAACTCCAAATTAAAATGCTGATAACAAGTGAGATTCTCGTAGAATATTACTGACCACATCCGAGTCAATGAAAACAAACAAACCGGTTACAAGTGCGTTTGACAGCTTCGCCAAAACCGCTTGAATCTAATAATCCGGTTCGATAAATTGACTGCACATTTTGTCTGGATATGTATTGAGTAATTATTTCTGGAATAAGAAGCGGACCTAATGAGTCTTAAATCGAAAAACTCCAGGAGAATCTCAGAATATTAATGAACATATTCGAGTCAATGAAAACAAACAAACCAGTTCCACGTGCGTTTAAATTGACAGCTTCGGCCAAAAGCGCTTGAATCTAATAGTTGAGGTTGATTAATTGACTGGATTTTATCAGGATATGTATTGAGTAATTATTTCATGAATAAGGAGCGGGCTAACTGAGTCTTAAATTTAAAAATTTTCAATATCGGCAACAAATAAAACTCTTGCGTTTGACAGCTTGCTGGTCGCGGCTCGTCACATGTCACACTAACCTCAAAATGTGGTCCTTCATCTCGCTTTATTGCGGCAATCCACTGCGATCGCTGTGTTTCGTTTGAGGGAAAGTTAAAAAACGACAAATCCTTTCCACTTTCGTTGCGTTTGTCGTTAGTACAGCAATTTACAGAACAATGATCGTTTGCCATATTTGTATATGGTATCTCCACTCAAAGCCCTTGTATATACAACCCTTCAAGTGCCGGCATGCCCGTCCAGCCTCGCTTTGGTGCGGCGCGCAATCCAAGATGGCGGAAAGTGATATCGGAGTATTAAAGGTAAAGTAAAGGGACAGAAAACCTTTTGGACTTTTAATGTCACAATTAAAGGTAATTAAAGATGGAATAGAACTTTTGGTGAGCTTTAATTTTTCACTAAAGACACCAAAATGAAAGCGTTCGTCCTGTTCCTATAAGTCTTCAAGGCAAATTCTACATGTACCTCGCATAGACCGATGACCATAGTACAGAAGGGCACCTATAACTGCCTCGTATCGTATTGAGACTGAATTGAGTAATGGCGGAGTAAAGACCTTCAACATGACTGTCCACAAACTTTATACTTTCAATGGAGGCTAATCGCCGAATTTTTCAATAATCTACTCAACAAAAGAACAGTTAGATCATCAGACTCCTCGGATGACTCAACCACATCGCCCGAGTCGAAAAAAACCTAAGTATGATTCACCGCTCACTGAAGCACTCAAACAAGACGAAGATGAAGTAAGGAGGAAGCAACTGCAAAAGTACAAAAGATTTGGAAAAGCTAGAAAAGCTTGACACAATAGACCTGTCTTTAAAGAAAATAGAATCCAAACTGGCAAAGCTAGAAACATGAACGACAGAGTTGGAAGCTTTTAAAAAGAAGCCAAGTAGGACATAAGCGAGTTGAAAGATGGTGCCAACTTTGCTTGAAAACAATTCCAGGAGAAGGCACAAGCAGAAATTGCCGAGCTCACGAGGAAGGTGCAAAAACATAAAGAAGCAGTTAAGGAGACCGAGTCAAAAAGCTTATATCTTGAGGCCTATTCTCGAGGCGAAAACATCAAGTTTATGAACATTGAAGAAGGACCTCAAGACCAACCCGAAGACACCGAGAAGATTTTAAGAGGCTTTTTAGAACACAAGCTGGGATATGAAGATGTTCTGAATGTAGAACTTCAACGTGTCCACCACACGTTTCCTGAGGCATAAAGACGTGTAAAAACTTTCTTCACTGGGACAGTTCTTGAAAGGATCAAAGTTTCAAATGTTCTGAGACCTACCGACTGAAATTGTGAAACGCCGCAGGTTACAGGCGGAAACTTTTAAAACTGCTAAATGAAGAAAGAGGAATCCCAGCGGCTTTCAGCCAAGCACAACCAGATAAGTAGACAGTTGATGCTATCTGACACAAACGTCTAAAAATGGACCTTAAAATAGGATCAATCAATGTTAGAGGTTTGGGAGACTTCGTCAAGTGGCGAGAAGTCTTTAACTGATTTGAGAAAAAGAAAATTCAGTATATTTTAGTCAAGAAATGCACTGTACAGAAAACAATAAGAATGATTGCCTTTCCGAATAGGGCTATCAAGCTTTGTTCAGCTGCTGCACCAGTAGAAAGGGAGGTGTTGCCATACTTTTTAATAATAACTTCATTTTTCAAATTTCTGAACCATATTCCAATCCTGAGGGACGTTTTATAATCTGTGATTTGACTGTAAACAGGAAACAATTAACGCTGACAAACATTAACAGTCCAAACAACGATTCAAATTTCTTCACCGCGGTTTTTAGTCATTTGGCTGATTTCAAGTGCGACAAGATCATAATCGCTGGCAGTTTCAATTTAGTTTTAGATGTCAAAAATGATAAAAAGGATTAATCTCAGCAGTTATTTGTCTATGAAGACAAAACACCAAAACCCAATCTAAGTATGAAAATCGCTTTTCAAAATTTCTTATGAGTCAAAAGCCATCTAAATTTATATACCAAGAAATTGGGTCGAAAAAACTGTGAAAGGGCAATTTCATGTCAAGGAAAGTGGCGCAAAGACATCAACCTTCCAACAAAGGAAATTATTAATTGGAAAGTCGCTTATCAAACATCCTTTAAATGTACAAAGAGCAGTAAACTTATCACTTTCAACTTCAAATTGTTACATCGCCTGTTACCAACTCTTTCTTAAAAAAAAGTCGAACTTAGAGAGGATGATAAGTGCACTTTTTGTCATAAGGAAGTGGAAAACTTGATGCACTTATTTTGGAGATGGGAAAAAAACAAAAAACGTTTGGGATAGTCTTTTTAAGTGGATGCAGTCTTGCCAACTTCCTTTGGGTGAACTTAATTACTTACTCGTAAAAGCAGCTTTGGGTCTGAGGCCAGATAGATCTAAAAACAAACTCCATATCAATTTTTGTTGCGTAATTGCCAAGCACTATATCTGGCTTTGTCTCTTAAAAGAATATCCTCCCAATTTAAACAACTTTTTGCTTTATTTGAAACACATTTATCAACTAGAAAACAATGCCTTTACTGTCAAAAATAAATGGGAGCCCTTGCTGCCTTATATAAGCCTTTTGATCCGAGTCTCCAAAACTTAATTAAATATACATATCTTCTCTACATCTTTTTTTGTATTGTTTTGACTGTGCCCTTTTACCCAAGGAAAAAAAAGGAAACGAAAGAGCAGGGAGTGAAAAAGGAAAAATCAGAAAAGATGTATTAACCTCGCTATTTGCTGTGAGCCTGTTGCTCTCCTCTCAATTGATTTTTTTTTTTCATTTGTCACTTTCTACTTGTATGTCATTTGTTGTTGTTGTTGTTAAAATAAATAAAAATTTAAAAAAAAACTGCCTTGTATCCAGGCATCTCTCTCAATGAAAAGGCGGGAAGGGGAAACAGGCGAGAAGTCTGGCAGATCTCTTATGGGGGGAAGAGTAATGGACCACAAGTACAAAATCTTAAGAAATGAATTTAAACGGTTCACATTGCACAGTTGGAGAATAAAATTACTTGTCCACACCCTATGTGTGAGAAGGCCGTTTTCTTCCAAAGAACTGGCCTCTAGCAACATTACAGGCTTCATCACCCAGGCGTGACTTTCCTACCGATAATTGATAATTGCACGCCAGAGAGGCAAGAAACATCTTAAGCTCTTCGAAAAGCAGTCAGGAGAAGAAGTATTTACATGAGTTTTGAATTTTGAAGCTTAATTAATGTCTACCCTATTAATTATGTTAGGGTTCGAGTGATGAAACTATCTTTGCTATCGAGATGGCAGACGAGTTGTGGCAAAACGACCAAATCAGGCTACCAACATGTTTGCCAGGTATTTGTGACATACTGGCCGATTCACAGAATACTTGACAGGCAACAAACCAGTTTTAACAAAACTTTCCACCTCGAACTTACTGGTGAAATTCAAAGCTTGGAATGGCTGCAAAGAATTTCAGGACACGAAATCCAAGGGCACCGTTGCAAATCAGGGCCATGTTTTGTAGGAAAGATAACACTTTTAGATTATTATTGACATATTAGATTCATCATAAATTGAGAGATGTTCCAAAAAAGTAATGTGTTTTCAGATTTCTGAATCGAATGGTTTCTCAAAAAGCAAATCAGTCCACAAATTTGTACCGAAGTAATTAATCTAGTGAAATTATTATACTTTTTTAACAAAATATCCTAGTATTACAACGATACCTTTTGATCTAGTCTTGTGAAATCCTCTGTGACTGTACCTTGCTAACATAATAAATATTGGAACCTACCATAATCAATAGTAGGCATTCATTAAGTCTCAAAAACATTTACTGTAATGAACTTTATCGTAAAACATACTGCCTGTCCAAAGTGGGTCTCAAAAAGGCTAGAAAATGTTTCTTACCTCCATGGTACGCGACTAATTCATAAACAAGGCAGCTGCTTCTTTGATTTTTGGTAAGGCGATCACTTCTGGATGACTGCATTGTAAGCAGTAAGTTGCTCCAGTCCACTTTTTGTGGATGAACAGGGTCTAAAAATACTGCAAATGTATTCTTTTCCTCACATTTCACAGAATGATCTACTCTAAACCCCTTCCATTTTGAGATGTTACCTGGTACATTGTGGACCAATTTTGTGTAGTGATTTAAAACTCACCTTGTTTGTCTTAAAATAAATTAGTGATAGCTTTGCTTTAAAAGTGTTAGACAATGTTGTTACCTCTATGGAGGAGGAGGCTGAAGTGATCAATGAGACACCACTACAACATAGCCAGACAGGTGATGTGGCCATAGGCAGTTTAAAACAGTGTTTGGATATCATACATTCCATGGCTGGGAAATAGACACCGTCAATGCCATTTTAAGTAAAAACTACTGCGTTGTACTAATGCCAACTGGTGGTGAAAAGACTGTGTGTTACACAGTGCTGAGGTTCATTCCTCCTGGAGTCACCATTGCTGTCACTCCTCTGATTGCCCTTATAGTTGATCAGTGCAACGCTTGCATAGGGTTGGACTTAATGTGTTATCTTCTTTCAAGTATGGAGGATAAGGGGAAAATGGTTGTTTGACACTACCTAACTATGCCTAACCCATCAAACAAGTTCCTCTTCACCACTCCTAAAACTATTACAACTTCAAATGACAAATGTTTGATGCAAATTATGACTGCGAATAACACGCTTGCCCAATTTTTTATAGACAAGGCCCACTGTATTGACTGCTGGGGGTTTAATTTCTGTCCCAGTTACTCCAGCCTAGGGTCACTAAAGGATTATGGTGTACCTATAGTGGTCCTGAGCACTAGATATGTTATGGAAATATATCAGAATGTCGTAAAATACTGTTTGGAAGTAAGATTTCGAAGGAATTGTCAATGTTTTAGCCAATTTTTTAACAGATTTTGCGCAAGATAATAGGACATTTAAAGATGGCGTATTCTATCACACGAAGAACTGTTAGCTGAAGATTTGAGAGAAAATGACGAAGAATATGGCAGTTTCGACAACTCCGAATCGGACGAAGGGGAAGAAGATGAGATGATGTGCAGTAGTCCACTCAAGTCTCCTTGGCATACAACTAATAGCGGGAGTTTTGCTTTTCCGCCATTGCATCCATCAAGTCGTTTGCATGTGTTTTATGGTTCGCCTTTGCTGCCATATAAACTATTCACTTAGGCCTTTAAATTTCCAATACCTTATTATATTTGAATGTCCTCCACTAAACTATAATTTCAAAACAGTATATTTGTCTGCAAGTTGTCTGAAATATTCGTTGTTCTCTGTTGAGTTTTTTGTCAAAAATGAATGAGCCTTTTGATAGCGTGTGCAAACATAGTATTGATTGTAATTGCCTTTTTTGTTAGGAGTTCATATCAACTTTAAATGATAACATGGTGCATCAGCTATGTGTAAGGGTACTGAGTCGGGGTGTTCAGAGTATGGAGTATATAGACCGTCTTGTGATCATGGAGGATGGTGATGATGATGACAATGGTGTGAATAATTTTGAGGAAAGTGAGGAGACTTCACCTACGGACAGTGGATGTTCAAAGCCTGCACTCTGGGAACCAGCACCAGACTGGTGCAATTGCAGACACTGTTAACTTATGGCTCGAGAGATTGAGAACAAATGCTGTGGACAAAGAAAGTGTGACACAAAGAGTAGACATTTTAAAAAACTGTGTCTGCATCCAGAAGTACTCGAACTGTGCTTTAGGAATGACCGTGAGGATACCAGTACATCTTCCTTCGGCAAAGCTGCTAACAGACAATTTAGCTTGGAAATGTATGTTCATCTAGAATAAGGTAATGGCAAGGTTGCCACAACTTCTGTAGTGATCCAAGTTAGAAGACAATATCCTTCACTGACTGGAATATATATGGGGTTCAGACCACAATAATGTAAATAATTAAGGGGTTGCACTAAGGGCTTGGGGCCAGGGAATTCCCCTGGCTACTATGAGCATGACCCCCGGCTACTTTTATAAGAAAAAAAGGGAAAATAGAGTTAACAGAACTTCCTTGCTGTTCAAATTTCTACCTATTAATTGCATATACCCAAGAACATGATATCTTAGTGACAGCTGTGAAATTTGTGATAAACCTTCACTTAGTATGTTGTGCTTGAATTTTTAATTGTTTCAGCTTTTCTTTTTCCATGTATGGTAATGTATAGCCACGGTTATGGCTGTAATGAAGAAAACAGAAGATGAAATCATGTTCAAGCTTGAAAAAAAAAATTAAAAAGAGCTCTTTCGAAAACAGATGCCATGAGTTTCTAATGGGTGGCTGTTCAAAGCATATCTAACTACAGTACATACAGCTAAAATACAATTTCAGTTTTCTAGCTTTTTACTATTACTTATTTTCTTATTTATTTAACTGTTCTTGGTTTCAAATAAGAAAATTATCCAATATACACCCTAGCCTTTACTTCAAATAGAATAATTAGCAATTATTGGACGAGGTTGAGCAAAATATTGTTATTTGTTAGTGGCCAGCAGATCAATTATTGGCTGAGGCAAATAATTGATCTGCTAGACACTGACAAATCATGATATTTTGCGATAACCGAGTTCAATAATTGTTTTATCATTCGATCACTGAGTGGCAGGAATCTCGCTATGCTTTACAGTCTTCTTATTGTTCAGTGATTTGGATAATGTCTCCGACATTTTCCTCTTCGCGCTCAAGCTTGTTTGGGAAGAATAACTCCTGATACTACTTTCATTCCTGTGACCTGACATTGCCATTATATGCTGGGCTTTGTATCCTGACTCGTCAAGTTTCGTGATCATAGTTGCTCTGATTGAATGATTCATATACACACCAGATAGCTTTGCTTCGAAAGACAACTTCTTCGTCTTCTCACCAAGAGTGCGTTGGCCAACGACCATGTTGTCGTACCAGACTTTATCGCTTTCATCTACTCCTTTTTTGGGCCTCTGAAAAAGGTACTCGTTCTTCAGGTTAAGACAAATGACATTTTTCAAATGACAGAACTGGGCAAAAAGGCTCACCAGTTTCAAACATTGTGATTCCTGGGCTTCGTTGTTTTCCCGTCAGTTTCTTGTCAATTCATCTTTCACTTTGCAAACATATCTTACGCTAGATGAGTCGGTACAGACAGAGAAATCTTCCTTCTTTCATTCTCTCAAGTTCTGGCGTCCTCGTCTACAGAAGAAAAGCATGATTTCCAAAAAAACCTTGTTTTGGAGTGTCTCCAGCTGAGTTAAACTACACGATCCACTTTCATACACGACTTTCATAATGGCGGACCCCGCGCGAAACCTGGTTCGAGCAGCGTGAAAACGAGGCCAGAAAGGCCAGCGTCGCGTCGCGTCTCTTGTTGTTTACAACACAAGCATGGCCACAAGCACTGAAAATGGCGAGTCCATCAGACAATTCAAGCAATTCAAATGCGATTCCTCTCACCGAAAACTATATTCCCGGCGCTTCTCTACTTGGACAAAAACCTGAGGAGTTGAAAAACTCAGAACTTAAATTCTGGCTGAAATGTCGTGGAGACACAGGGAAAGGTTTGAAGACAAAAGGGGAGCTAGTGAAACGAGTGTAAGAGTACATACGAAGCGGCAAGGACAAACAGATCATAGATCCAGATCCACATAAAATATATAGCCATAGAAAGCAAAAGCAAGGCACGAGTTCAGAGCTTGTCAAGGAAAGTACAGCGGCTGCAGAGTTTCCAACTACTGGATGGGGAACGTCGTTGGAGAAGATGCCAATGTTCACACGACTGCAAATGAATCACCACGTGTTGAAGTCCAGGAAAACCATTGGTAATATTGATCATCACACCGTCCCGACTGGGTTGGTAAAGGCCAGGCGCTTCTTAGATGACGAATATCTGGAAGATATTGAATGTGCCAGTGATTCGAAGTACTTCTTCTTCAAAGGGAAGTGCTGTCATAGTTTTCGAAAAAATGACCCCCCACATAATCTGAAAATCGCCTTGTGCATCTTGTCAGGAGAAGTGGACAGTGCTTTGTGTTCGTGTGTGGCAGGAAAAAGCGGATTCTGTAACCATGTGTTGGCATCGATGTTCAAGATGTGCAAGTTTACGTTATTTTCCTGTAATTCTACCAAGGACCTGATGGAGGAACAGGACCAGCAATCCTCCTTGACCTGTACATCACAACTGCAGCAGTGGCACAAGAAGGGCACAGGAAAGAACATTGCACCACAGCCAGTGATGGAAGGGGAAGTTACAAAAACAAAGGATGAAGAATTCAGATTACGTTCTGGCATCAAATCTCTTGTATATGATGCCAGGATGAAAACCACACATAATGTAGCAGCAGAGCAGAAACTAAAGGAGCAGCTGAAACAAATTGACCCTAATATGGGCCTGTCTCAAATGGCTAGTGAACAGATTGATCAGACGCATACTAGACTTGTAGAAACAAAATTTGGCAAATGTCAAGTTGGTTGTTTCTTGTCATACCAAGTTTCCCTGACAGAGGCACACTTTGAAGCCACAGCATCCATTTACTGCGTACCAAGACTTAGCCAAGTAACAAAAAATCAAGCCCTCACTTATCCAAGGTTTCCTCTAAGGGATATTAATGAAATGGCACTACCTGACAATTTGAGTGAGAATGACAACAAACTTATACAATCTTTGAAGTTAGAGGAAAATGAACTCAATGACCTTGAAACACAAACAAGGAAACAAGCTGAATGTACTAAATGGAAAGATGAGCGAAAATTCAGATTCACTTGATTTCTAGACGACAGAGAAATCATGACACTTTTCAATCCAAAATTGGTTTCTTCAAAACAGTTAGAACGTGGAAAAAAGTTTGAATCTGTTGCATTAAGGGAGTATGAAAAGTATATGTTTAACAAAAGTACACCTGTTAAGGTGCTCCCTTGTGGTCTTGTTGTTTCAAAGGGGTGTCCCATTCTTGGAGCTACTCCTGATGCAAGAGTAGTCGACTTCGATTACTTTGGCATAGCTGAAGTGAATTGCGCCTACACAAAACATCATGTCATGCCCCTTGATGCTTGTACGGATGAAAAAATCTTCATGAAACAGACAGGTGACAGGGAGTGCAAACTGAAAGAGGACCACCCCTACTATGCTCAAGTGCAAGGACAAATGGCTGTTACTCGAGCAAAGTGGTGTGACTTTATTGTGTATACCAGTAAGGGTATTTATGTCCAACGTATCCCTTTTGACCCTGTGTTTTGGGCTGGATTAGAACAAAAACTGCTTTCTTATTATTTTACATACATACATACGTACATACTTTATTAGCTCATCCCCACGGGGCTTTTCAGAGTCAATTTTACATTACAAAATTGTAAACCAAGTACTTCATTACCAAGTACTTCATTACCTTTGCATCTGCAAAGTGTTTCCAGGGGAGTTGTCAAGTAAACAACAACAGTGATTGTGAAGTATTGTGCACTGCTACATCAGGTTAACCCTTCAATTCTCATTAACACAGCAAAATTATTGGTCCCAATGACTATGTATGTTTCCTATAAAAGAAATTATGCCAAGTTTTTAAATCCAGCTGAAGAGATACATTTCTTACTCTTACAGTTGTTGAGTGTGAATTTGATATTTTACATGAAGAAAGTAAATAGTGACTACTGTTTGAGAATTCAAGGGGTAGTGATAGATACCATAGTCAGACCTCAAATACAATATTTTTTTTGTAACCTTGTAATAAATAGTCAGGTCAGCAAAAAAAAGTATTGTCTTTTTTATCATTGTACCCACTCAACACATAGAGAGACTGAAAGAGGATTGTGTGTGTTGTGATTTGATTTTATCCTTAATGTAAATATTATTTTCCATTTGTTTGAAACTCACTCAAACCAAGAACAGTAGGAAGATAAAATTTAAAACAAGGATAAATTTAAAACTCATCATACATATGTATAACTGTTGTGTTACGTTTTAAAAAACCCCACCCTCACCTTATCACCACACAACAAGCACTCATAAACATTAATGCAGCAGTTATCCTAGTCTTGGATTTCAAATATCTACACCGTAATTGAGATTTTAAGGGAGCTGTTGTGTTTGTAACAACAGATTTTCAATTAGAACTGTTAATTTTTCAAATACATGGGAAAGTCATATGGATATGATGTTGGGCTGTGCATTGCAACAGAATGCACATACTGCCCACATCTGGTTTACAATTCCCATCTGATGTAATGAAACAACTCTATCCCAGATGTGAAAGTTTTTTATCTTGTTTATTGCACGTTCAACATGAATTCTTAAACTGGCGATTTCCTGGGTAGCTACCACATCCTCTGCAGCCATCTGTGCAGATGCTCCAAGAAAAGGTGGCAGATTTAAAGTAACTCCCAAAGGCAACAAATCCTGAATTGTGAATCCTTTGTCTGTCATAATTGAGTCTTTATCGTCAAATGGAGGCGCTAAAAAACCACTCCTTCGTACAATTTCTCGATCCGAGATTGAACCGGTGTAAAGTTGGCTAATAAATGTGATTGCTCCCCCCAGGAGATATACCAACCAAGCCCTTCAATGTTGTGTGATTATTATAAGAACTGAAAAGTTCTCCATTCAGTTGTAAGCTACTTGGCATTTGGGATCTGATCTCAGTACAGTCAATTATGACTCTTGTCGACTTGTACTTACTTTTAAAACTTTCAGGCATTGTTGTCCTGATTATTTCTCTGCTAGGCCAAATGTTTATTTGTCCAAACTTAAAGTACATAAAATTGACCCATGTGATCAATATTCTTCTCACTGTGGGTGTTGATACATTGAAGAAGTTAGCTAGATGATCTTCAGGAAATCCTTGCCTCAGCCTACACATCACCATAAAAAATTCGTCAAGGGGCTTTAAAGATCGAGCTCTCCCCTTTTTCGTTAGTAATTCATCCGTTTGGTCCCCGCTATAATCAGATGTGATGTCAGTGGAAGATCGCCAGAAGGAAATGTTCTCACCTCGCTCCCTAGGATCAAGGTACTCAAAAACAGCCATAAAAGCATCCCAGGTTTGGAAGCCGGAATAAAAAGCAGCATTGGAATCTTTTGACTTTAAGTTTGCAAAGGTAAACAGTCTGTTATTAAGGGCATCATTCCGCCGCTGGGTATCTTGCAGCTGACGCTTAAGTTCATCAATTTCTTACTCTAGCTCATAAATCCTTTTGTTATTGTTGTCAGTGATTTCCGTCAAGTAGGCTTCGTGCTCGGTCAAATCAGTTTGTGTTTCTACGTTTTCAAATTGTGAGCTTAAATCCAATACATCTGGTACCATTTCATTTGATAATTCTTCCATGACAACAACTGAAGACAATTTCCTTGATGCATTTTTCGAAGCGGTCTCTTCAAAGTGTCGTTCCCTCGGCTCCTTTCTTTTACGTGGCGATGTTCGAATCCACGGAAAAACAGAGGGAACAACTCCGTCTTTTAGTTCATTTTTCCCAGAAAGGGTTTTTTTATATCGCCTTCCCTGAAACGTCGTGAGCAAACCCTTGTGCTTTTAGTTACCTTGAAGTATTGTCCTTCCTCTCTCCTTATTGCGTGTAGCCACTTCTTCTTCATCGGGTTCTCGATCGGAAATTTAAAGAATGATACTTTTGTCCGATCTTCTTCTCGATATCCCTTCTTCGTGCATTCTGGAACACAACAATGAGTTGGCATTTCCAATTCTTCGAAATAACTTAGTCAATTCTACACAAAACAGACCAATTGACCTAATATCACCCTGCTTTGTTTATCTGAAATCAAGCGAATAAGCCAAGGTCAAAGCGAACGTGGCCTTTCTGACCCCGCTCTCATGTGTAACTAATTACCAATCCCGCGCACCATCGGCCATTATGAAAGTCGTGTATACAGTTTCTTTGTGTCATCTTTGTTTATTGGTGGTTTGTGTAGTGAGTGAGCTTTTCCTTCCGTTTAAGCTCTGAAATTTCCGCTTGATAAACTGCATTGGCTCCAGAAAACTCTGGGTCTTTGATGATATCAATCTTGTGTGAACTGAAGAACTGCTGAAGGCCAACGCGTTTCCTGACAAGTGAAGATTTGGTGCAAAGCTTACCATTCCTTTTCCGCACTCCAGCGTAGAATTTTCTCATAACAGATACCAACTTTTCTTTTGATGAAATGAGTGACTCTTTTTTTTTACTTTAGATATTCTCAAAATAGGTTATAAGCAACTTTTGTGCCTTTTTCGTCTTTTCACTGTTCTTTTGATCGAGTAAAAATGCCAAATTGCTCTCTTCTAAGTTGGCAAAGCGATCTGCCATGATTGCAAGCAGGAGCAAGCGTGGTTTCATTTATGCATGAGGAGAATAGTATTTGCAGCCAAAAGAGTTGAACGACATTGCGCATGAGCACACCATTATTTGTAGGCAGTTATTTGCAGGTCACGTGGTGGGCTCTTGGCCAATGAAAAGGAAGAAACATTTGCATTGAATATTATCATTGTTACTCCAAAATACACCACTAGCCTTGATTTAAAATAGAACAGTAATCCAATGAACACCAGCCTTGTACCACCTCCATAGTGAATACCAAGGCAAATTTTTAGGGGGGTCTACCAGAAGACAGAACTGGCTGATATTTTTCGAAATTTTGACCATAACCCATCACTACTATGCATACTATGCAGGAATACGGTAGACTGATCTGAATGGATATTCAAGATTAAACATTGAATTGTTTTTCACTTTCCTTTACTTTTTTTGTCTGGACTGGTAAGAACTGGCCATGTTTCGCAAAATCTAATGGTAAGCCGCCTTACACAAGATCTTACATGAACTAGTCTAATCGTGCATTAAAAAAAGAAAGAAAGAAAAAGTTAAAACCAACAAACTCCACAAAAGCAAGAATTCTTCTTTTGAAAAGTTCTAGCCCAGAAAAATGGACTGTTTACCCTTAGTAGCGGATCAGGATTTCATACCAGTAGGTAGAGGTTGTTGTTACCACAAATCCTATCTATTTCTTCATGTAAGTGGGTAAAGAATTTATAGTGATTACCTTTCTAATGCTGCATTCGCACTGGCAGCTTCAAAGTGTTTCATTAAAACTTCAAACCTTTCTAACGTGGAGCAAATGTCACAAAATTCACATTCGGCTAGAATAGTAAAGGTTGGTGAAGAATAACATTTGACGTTGAGGACAATTACAATTTGATGAAACTGGCGAGATTATTTTTGAAACACGTTTAGTCTGAGCATGTTTTGGTACTAGTGTGAACACAGCTTCAGACAATCAACTATCATAATAATTATGTACATGGGTATAGCACAGACAAGTTTGCTGTCTAAGACAATTATCACTCATTGTTGGTTTGTGTTTACTGTTCCACTAAAAATAAATCATTTTTGCATTTTGAAAACCTTGACTACTTGCGCAATTGTTGGAGCAATTCTTGCAGGATCATCGTCAGACAAAGAGATATGGAGATCTATTGGACTCTTGTCGTCGATTCTTTGTTTGAAGATCTTTGCCATCAAGATAGGAATACACTTGAAGTCTTTAGAGACCTTGACCACTTTGGTGTTTCACTCTATGGTTCTTTGATTGTACTTCCTTGTGTGGCTTGCTCCGCCATTCTCACTGACAGAAAGGGGTAGTTCCAGTCTACTGTGACAAGCTGCCTTCTGGCTTTGTGAGCTTGGAACCTAACTTGTAAATAATAAGTACAGGTTGACAGGTACCTGGCTTTTTAAATGTCTGTAAAAAAAGCTGCAAAAAACGGATTTTTATGTTATCTCTGCTTGAAGTGGTTTCCCGAATAAATGAAAATGAAAATTGAACTTTCTGCGGTGATAGATGTAAATAATACAATACAATTATGTCTCTAACTTGCCGATATAAAACTATCCCTTTTTCTAAAAAGCAGAAAAAGCGAACAAACGAAAAAACCTGTAGTAACTATAACCAAATGTTCAGTGATACATTCAATACATTGTAAACGGAAATGTCATCATAAATCAAGAATAATGGAAGAATATTTTCAGGCTAAAATCGGCAGAAAAATCAGAATATTCAGCCTGGTATACAGTATGTTGTCCTTGGTCCGGCCAGTTCCTGGTCAGGCCAATTTTACTTTGTGGTATAATTTTCGCAAAAAAAAGGTTACAATACAAATGAAATTTTCCCAGTATTTATTGGTTTGTTTACCTTCTTTTCCTGATTCTAGCGAAGGCTTGGAAAATCAAGTTAACATGAACGTAGCTGAATTTTGCTCTGTTATTTGTGCCTTCTTTGTGGCGCCTTAAATTACTTGGGTATACTTTGAATTCATACATTTGCAATTATAGGTGCATTAGGAAAGCTAGTTTTTGGTGTACATGGCGTACAAGAAATGTTCTTTTAACTTGCAAAAAAAAATGCGGTCGACAGGTTGGATTTTAGATTATAGATAATTCCGTTCAAATAGCCAAGGCTACTGGTCACACATGAAGGACAAAAGTTGTTGTGGGTAGGTGAGTTATCCCTAGCAGAGTGTTTGTGAGGCAGGTAGGGTTACCCTAGTGCTAGGGTAACCCTACCTACCCTTGTAAACACATCGGAGAAAAAAGAAATGTGTGAGTGCTAGGGTAACCCTTTATCCTCCCTCCTTGTAAACAGGGCTTAACGGGGCGAGAAGAGACGGACAACCTGGGGGCAAATGAGTTGTGTCCGCCAAAAAATGAATTCCTTTTCCCTTGCATAAATTATTGAGAATGACTGCCGCGTATCTTGTACAAAATCCAATCTTTCTGGGTGGTGGTTAGGATGCGATCCTTTACATCACTTATAAAGAGATAATTATTCACCAAAGTGGAGGTGGCTAGTGGTGGAAATTTACTGAGGACGCGCAGCGGCGAGGTAAATACCCACCACTAGCCACTGACACCGAGGTGAATAATAATTTGTTTTTTCAGTATATATTTTTCAGTATATACTAAAACAGTGAGATAAATTTAGCACAAAAATGATGATTTTTATCTCATTTACTGTTGCCAACGATTACAATTTTGGCGCGCAATGACCAAACGGCCGTGGTCGTCACTTTTTCTTGCCCACAAATGAAACATTTGAAGGTATTTGTTTAGCTCTTACAGGAAAATTTCTTCAAAAGGAGTTGTGAATTCTGTTTGTATTTAAAATTACTCTAAAACAGATTACTAAATTTAGTTTTAAGCTTTTTTATGAACACGTCAACTTAATAGATTAATGCAAGACTTAAGCTTAATTTGCAGTTGTAGACAAAAAACTTTTTCACCAGTTTTAATGATAAATTCAACAGCTTGCTTGATTAGCTGTGAAATTTCTGTGTTTGTTGCAGCAGCTAACCGGGAAGGCATTTTGCACGCAACTTACACGAGTTTGGCGTCGCTTGCTCGGAGGAACTGGAGGTGAATCAGTGCATAGTGCAGGATATTCACTGATGAAGTAGCCAATCACAGCGCACGAAAAGCACTATCCACTGTTTTAGTATATACCTATAACAAATATACAATTTTATTAAATATGTTTCGCAATTATGTTTATTTTATTATAAAGTTAAACCCCCTCATAAATAGTTTCCACATTGAACCCCTCCCTCTCCGCACCATCTGATTTAATTATAATACATCATTTTAATAGGTGTAAGCATGCACAAAAATGTTAAATGACCTTTAAATTCATGCAGTAGCCTTAAGAATTCCTTTCTCGAAACTCCACAGATTGCAATCCTGCCCTCTCTTCTTACTCAATTATTTTTTTTCTATCTAGGAATCAGAGTCTTCAAATTTTTGAAGGGATGATTGCTGACAACTAAGGCTACATATAAAATTTTCGGCCTGTACCAAAACTTCCATGTACTGTGTAGCATTAGGAAAAAGCAACTAAAGCAATAATAAAAACTCAAGCTTACTCGAACTTCATTTTCAGTTTACAGTATTGTGTCCGTAGTTTCTCACTACCACGATCCTCATATCCCTTCTCTTTCAGCCCCTCTCTAATATGGCCATAAACGTCTTCATTCTGAAAAAGAGCATTGACATAAGTCTTCTGTATACTTAAACTTACTTTCACAGTGTAAGTTTATAATACGAAGATAGCAATTTGATTAGTAAATCAATTAGTAATCGATTGTGATAGTTTAAAGTTAAAAGGGTCTACTTGCACCAGCAGATGTCACGCATTTGTCCAGGAGATCTGCTATCGCCTTCTCCTTACATAATAACCAGAAATCCTTTTCCTACGCAAGGGACCAAGTGTTTCTTTTTGCCTCTAACGGCATGCTCATTGTAATTGACCAAAGAAAAAATAAAGCAGAATAGACCAGAAAATGAATACACATTGTACTTGTAAACAACTTTTCCCCGCCAGTAGCCAGCCATAATTTTCCCGCCAAAAATTAATGCATGTGTACTTTGCATTCATGTCTTATTTAAGACGTGAAGGTCATTTACACAGTTTTTCTCGTCTTCGCTGAGACACGTATTATCTAAGAACAGGTGTTAAGGGCTGTTCTAAAATAATACACGTCTGAGAATTTTATTTTAGACGAAATGTGCCCTTTATACAGAAAGTTCGCATCTGATTTTTCCTCCTATAAATGGCCCTAATGTCATTCCCAGGATCAATCTCTTCTCTCCAGCCCCTGAAGAGTAGAGAGAGTTGAGAGAGAGTAGAGAGAGCTCTCCAATAACCCCTTGAGAGTTATTGTAGAGCTTCAAGTATTACATCAGGTTCAGATAAGACAACTATTACGTACAAAATTTCAGATGGCCCACAGGCTGGGTAACAAAAATTATCGTCTTCCACTGTCAGGGTACCTCCTACGGCACTGTAGGATATTATTGGCAGCATACATGAACTGGTGAAATGCCAAATGTCAAATATTACCAGTTGGAGCTTATAATATAGTTTTGTACTTTTTTATCTGCCAAATCTCAATTCACATTGCAATAATTAGTTCATCGGATATCGGACCGAATATGAAAAACATTTTGGGTGAGTATTCTTTGTTCTTTAAGGCAAGTACGTGGAACTACTTACACCTAAACTCAATATGCCTTTTTGAAGAACATATACAGTGGAATGCTGATTTCTCGAACCTCCAGGGGAAATGCAAATTGGTTCGAGAAATCGAAAGTGGCATCAAATTACGCTTAATTGGCCGGGTATTGTGTGATTATGAGTAAGAGTTCAACTTTTAACAAAGATACGTCCTTTTTAATGTAGATCTTGACCTTTATTAACAAACAAAACATACTGTACTTAAAAAACAAAAACGAAACATAACAGAACACATGTCGTGTAGGGTATGTATATAGCACTTGCTCAATTCAGCTGAAATAATTTGTAGTAACTTGTTGCCTCTTTGCAACCGAGAAACTCTGGTCTATGATTTGAGAAATGTTCCTGGTACTTTTGCGCAGATTATCGAGGTGCACATCATCAGCAAAAAAGCTGAATGTGTTAAGCACACTGATTGCATGGCGCAATTCACACTGTGTTGGTGGTTTTGGCGGTTCGTCTACAATGACAATCTCATCATTATCCATTTCATCTTCTTTCTCTACATTTGCATCTGAGTGGTTAAACTCTGCTAGTATATCCTCATCAGTTAGGGAATCAGCTTCAAAAGTAGCCTCATCATCATCACGTTCCACAACAATGCCAAATGTTACATTCTCCAGTGCAAGTTCAGGCACTCGTTCCCTTAAGTTATTGATTTCTTGAATGGATCGTCGTCATCAGAAAGTGCACTTTCTTGGGACTGATGTGAGATCCTGGCTGCTCTGAAGCAGTTTTTGATGGTGCCTGGCGTAACTTTGTCCAATGCTACAACAAGCATATCCATAGCAACAAGGATGCTGATGTTTGGGATTGACCTATTGTTATCAATTCCAGTTGTGTACATTTGTACAGCTTTTGATGGTACTAGGTGGCAGAAACACTAAATCAATAGCTTTAAGATCCTTTACATGTGAGTGAGCTGGAAAGTCGTCCACAATAAGCACAATTTTTCTGCCTTCTCTTTCAAACTTGCTGTCCAGTTCTCTAATCCAGTCCTCAAAAAGGGACACTATCCATCCAGCTATTTTGCGTGCTCTATGTCTGCATGGAATGTTCCGCGCTCCAGAGAAACACCGGGGTTTGGCCAACTTTCCAATCACAAACATAGGAAGTTTTTTGCCTAATGAATTTGCAGCAGCCATTCCCGTCAACCGAATTTTACTATGGTTCCCTCCCACACATTTCTCAGACTTAAGGTGGAGCGACTTCTCAGGGAGAGCCTGATAGAATAGCCCGAACTCATCAGCATTATAATGTCAGCCAGGTTGTAGCTTGACAGAATAGCTGGCAAGGTAGTTTGCTCCCACGATGCAGTCATCGCAGGTGTGCATGAAGTGGCCTCCCCAGCAATAGTTTTGAATGTTATACTGTCTCGTTTTCCAACGGTCAAGCCACCCGTCAGATCCCTTGAAGTCGGCTATCTGTAGTTATCGTGCATAAGACATCCCTTTCTCTTTAAGCATTGGACCTTTAACAGGGATGTTTCAGCTTCACACATTAAGAAAATACTTGTACACTGCCTGATCCAATCTGGTAAACAAGGGGAGATGTATCTTCCAGCACACCATCCCATAGCCAAAGAACTTCAAGCATTGGACTATACACAGATGAGAGAGAAATTCCAAGAAGAACATCGAGTGAAATTCAGGTATGCTACCTTACATAAGAACATTACCGCACATTTGGCAAATCGCTTGCCCTTAAAAAATGTTTTTAGATTGGCAGTGGATGAGTTTTCGATTCTACATGATTTGATTCCCTGCAATTGGCCTGTAGCACTATGTCTCTACTTACTTTAAATTTTGACATGTTTCAAGAATTGGATGAAATGATTCAAGTATCGCAATATGAACGACACTCTATTTCATGTCTGCTTGTTTAAAATGTATCAATTTGTTATAAGCAATGTTTTACTGTTGTCGTATAAAGACCAGTTTGTCCTTCAACTGATTGGATTTCACAAGAAAGAAGCACTTTGTTTCCGTGATTTCAACTGTTTAGACGACTACCAGTATGCATTCATTGTGGACGTATTAATTTGTTAGAGAAAATGATTGATTGTGTGGTGCATAAAAGAATGGGCTAACCACAATGAATTTAGCAAACTTCAAACATTATATAACAAGCCCCTGCTAGAATATAACTATGAACTAGGACGTGCTTTTTTTTGCGCTACATTTTAGTCAAAGAATGTTTGATGTATCTGACTTAAAGGCATTCCCTGAATGAAGTGTTAGACTTATTTGTCCTCCTACGCATTGGATTTTTTCAGGAGACTCTTCTTTCGGATTAATTAGGTTGTGTTCATGGCCACATTGCCAAAGAATTAACAGTCTGGAATTAACCATAGATGGACTAGTCCACATAAAATTGGGCAATCGTCTCTTAAGAAAGGAATTATATACAACAAACCCGCTTTGGATTATAATTACTTTTTAAGACGCACTTATATCATTTTGGGTTTTTACTAATTGTAGTGATGTATTAACCCAAATTGAAGAATCTGAAGTGTGCCATTTAACAGATTGGATTAAATTGAAAGGAGTTTATTGCTGCCAACATTGCTTTGCAGTGAAATTTTTTGCACTTACCATGGATGGAAAAATTAGGCGCACCCATTTTTTATACATCTATTTTTATGACATAAACATGGATATTAACTTTTATAGGCAACAAATGTTATTACTCAATTCACTGTATTTTTTACGTTCTCATTGTTATTAGTGCCTCCTTATCATGTGTTCAAAGTTTAACGGTGTGCGACCTGACCAATTGGGTTAGAAGGGAAGGCCATTACTTTTGATTGCCTTGTTTACGCTTAAAATTTTACGTTGCACGATTGACATAAAGTTACAAGGGAAATCATGGGACTTTCAAGAAACGGTTAAGATAGTGGAGTTGTATCGATCTCGCTTTTTAATGCATGACCATTTTTATGTTTAGGCATGTTTTCCACGAAGTAACTACTCGAAAAGTCTGTTCCTCCTGTTGTTGGATTAACCCTTTTAAACGGTACCATCATTGGAATTCCATGAATTGTTCTCATTGCAATCGGTTATTTCAACAAGAAATGTTGATTCATGGTTGGTTACGTTGTGAAAAATTGATCGTGCCATCACAAGAAATATACGATATTGAATGTGAAAAATTCACACACACTTATGCAGGTACACGTATTTGTACAATTGTAACCTTTACTAGAACACTGTGGGATGATTTTTTGTAGAAAGTCTATGCAAGCGCTCATCAAGTTAGATGTGTGTACAGCTACCCTGTGGATTAATTGGTGTTTGAAAGGTTGGTGTATGACAATTATTGATAGTGAATTGTGTTTGGATGACTATGTCTAAATGAGAAAGATTAAATTATCGCTCAAAGAGGAAAGGATGGCCAAAAAGAAATGTCAAGTATTATATGTCCACTGTTGTAGCCGACTTTTTATTTTAAACTTGCACGCACTTTCAAGGAAGCGGTTGCATTTTGGCACCTTTCATATAGTTTTGAAATTTATTTTTTTAAAAAAGGGCAATTGTTACTAGAACAATTACACGTTCCACTTGTAAAATTAGCACAGATGTAAAAATCAGGGCACTAGAACAATTACACATCCCACTTGTAATTAGGTTTTTCATAAAAACCATGGCTGTGTGTTTTCATTGACTTATAATTAGGGAAACAACTTAAAACGAGAATGAGTTCAATTTGTTGAAGTAATTCATGACTTGTTATATGGTTCGGGGACAATTCGTGACTAATGGCAAGTTTGATCTATTCTATGACCAAATCGATTCTGTTTGTAAGGTACATGTACCTAAAAAGAGGCTTTCCAAAAAGGAGGTTAAAATATCCTCCAAACCTGGGATTACTAAAGAAATTTTTGCTACAATGAAGTATAGTGATAATCTATATTCCAAACTACTTAAAAGTAAACAACCAAATCCTAACCTTCATTATCTCTATAAGAAATTTACAAATAGGGTTGTTAAAGATATGAAAGATAGTAAAACCAAGGGGATGTGTTTTCATCCACCACACGTTCACGTCCACCTATTGTGTAGGGTAGGGATAAGAGAGCACGCTTCATGGTCAGTTAGCATTTAGTCTTTGAGTGAATACACACGTTGTTGCTGTTACGTTACGCCAAGATAAGAACTCTTCAAGAATTAGCCCTACAAGCTGTTCCTTTCCCTTGTAAACAGGCGCAGATGTGTCTTCCAGCACACCATCCCATAGCCAAAGAACTTTAAGCACTGGACTATAAACAGATGAGAGACAAATTCCGAGAAGAGCATCGAGTGAAGTTCAGGTATGTGTTACCTTACATAAGAACATTACCGCACATTTGGCAAATCGCTTTCCCTTAAAAAATTTCTTTTTAGATTGGCAATGGATGAGATTTCGATTCTACATGATTTGATTCGCTGCAATTGGCCTGTAAAACTATGTCTCTACTTACTTCAATTAAAGACGTGTTTCAAGAATTGGATGAAATGATTCAAGTCTCGCAATATGAACAACGCTCTCTATTTCATGTCTGCTTCAATCTTTAAAACGTATCGATTTGTTACAGGCAATGTTTTACTGTTCTCGTACAAAGACCAGTTTCTCCTTCAACTGATTGGATTTCATTTCGACTGTTTAGACAACTACCAGTATGCATTCATTGTAGACGTATTAATTTGTTAGAGAAAATGATCGATGGTGTGGTGCATAAAAGAAGGGGCAAACCACAAAACCTTTTAAGAGATCAATTTAGCAAACTTCAAACATTATATAACAATCAGCCTGTGCTAGAATATAACTATGAACTAAGACATGCTTTTTTTGCGCCACACTATAGTCAAAGAACGTTTGATGTTTCTGACTTACAGGCATTCCCTGAATGAAGTGTTAGACATAGTTGTCCTCCTATGCATTGGATTTCCTCAGGAGTCTCTTCTTTTGGATCAATTAGGTTGTGTTCATACAAGCATTGCCGAAGACTAGTCCACATAAGAATGGGCCAATGCACTTCCACCCTTCGCCAGTCGTTAATTCCTTGATGGATGAGTCCTCACAGATGCTGGCAATTCAGGCTTCTCCGGCCATTCCCCATGGAACAACCTGCAGTTCAGCACAAAATGCTGCCTGCAAAATTTGCTACTGGTGATCTCTTCTCATGTCGAGGTGGGGAAATGCTCTGCAGTATTCTGAGGGGGCGGGGGCGGTGAAGGCAGCGTGACTTGATTGTTGCCTCATCTATTTGTTTTTCTTAACCTAAACCAATATTTGGGGATCAAATGGTGAAAACTTGTTCTGTTTTATGTAAAGCACTTCTACCAATCTGTTCAATCAATCCGAGAGCGGCCATCATGAATTACAGTAAATGTATGAAATCGAATGTTGAGTGTAATATCACAATGTCTTACACAGCTGGGATGATCACCTTGTGACCACATCCTGTTCTGTGGCACATTCCGGGCTGGGCCAGATACGGAAATGTCCCTTCCCTGGTACTCCTTATTCGGCTACTCTTGCTTGCGAAGTGCATGGAGTTCTGCTATAAAATTTCATGAATCACACCTCGTTTTGCACAGACCATTTTAAGCTTATTGGGTGTGTATTAGATTATTGATTAGCCCCTGGGTTTCTAGTGAATCGTTTTTGGTTTAATCCAAGAAATAGTTGGTGTGTAATATATATTTAACCTCCAATGCCTGGATACATCTTGCACAAAAGTCAGACGTATAGTCTACATCTCCTTTACTGGGGAGTCTATCAGAGGTGTAACACCAGAAGAAATTTGTGCACACATGGAGTTCAAGAGGTCACTAGACCCTGGCAATCATTCGGCAGCAACTGGCAAATAGATTGTACTTGGTTCTCTGTTTTCCACATGAGGCGTCAATGATGTAACTGATGAATTCATTAACACTGTTGCTCCCATTCTCGACGGAACAATGGGTGATGTCGTTACATCTTATGCCATTAATTTGTGGTATGCTAAACAGGTACAATATCAGAAATTTGTTCAAAAATTTATTGCCAATATTATTCGAACTGACAAGCATATCGTGTACGGACTTGCTTGTCTTTCTCTGCCAATCTCAAATGTCAAACGTGTACGACCTTTTGTCCCTGTAAACACCTTAATGACCATATTTAACTCATTAGTTCAGCCCCATGTCAACTATTGCTGTGAAGTTTGGGATAGCTGTTGCAACACCCTAGCACTCAAGCTACAAAAGCTTCAAAACAGAGCAGCTAGGGTTTTAACCTTTTCTGGCTATGACGCTAGTGCCGATCCCCTTATTGAAATTCTTGGCTGGCAAAAACTAGAGTGACAAAGAAGCTTTCATAAGGCTGTCATGGTTTACAAATCTTTAAATGGACTCACTCCTGAATATATGCGATCCATGTTTATATACCGTGACACCGTATACTCCCTGAGAGACGCCGAGGGAAAACTAAATATTCCAAAGCCCCGCACAAACTACTTGAAAAATAGCTTTAGCTATACTGGTGCGGTGCTTTGGAATAGTCTGCCAGCTGGGTTACGGCAAGCAAAAACACTAGAAAGCTTCAAAGCCGGGCTGCGGTAGTCGGGTCATTTTACTACAATTAGTTATAGTTTTTAGATTAGTAATGCACGGCTCTCGTGGAAAGCAGGGTTTTATATTTTATACTTTATATTTGTAAATAAGTAAAGTAGTAATATATAAAATTGTTTGTAATTTTAAATTTTAAATTTTAATTAATTATTATAGATATGCCTGATGAGACAACCGTGGATAAATAAAGTATTCTTCTTCTTCTTCTTCTTCTTCTCTTACCTAAATTTATATTTTAGAAAGACTCAATAATTTCACGTTTAGGTAATTTGTATAGGAGTATTGGTGACCCACCTCAAATGATAATTAATCTAGCTTGTTGTGATTACAACCAATTTCGTAAGCTACTATTAACATTGAAAACAACTCGTTTCAGATCTGTGATATATTTTCAGGTGAAGCAACAATGTCATCAACTACTTCGCAAGCATGGTGACCCCTTGTGTGATAAAGTTCCAAAAACTCCACTTAGAGAAGAATCAATTGCCACAGGGTTCCATCTGTGAACCCAGTCTTGGAGGACACGTGCTAAGCAACCTCATAAACTTTGCAGTACATTCCACCTTTGAAGAGGTAAGCATATCAAACTCACTGTAAACAAAAGCCTCTATCAAGTTCCGGTGATCATGCCCCAACTGAGTGTCTGACTCTAGGTCAGTCAAAAACATGCACAATTTTGAATATTTTGCTCGCTTACTCAAAGACGTGTAAAAAGCGAACATTTTTACCTACGAATTCTTAAAAAAGAACAATAAAGCTACTTTCAAAGATGCATTTGAAAGTTATAGCTGCAAAATTCAATGGGGCAAATTGCAATTTTCCAAATCCCAATTTTGCAATACTTACAGACAATTTTAAGCTCTTGTCACGGTTGGCGCTTAAGACTGGGGCAGAACTCGTGTGTGCATGCGCTGGTCCCATTTTTACTGCGTAATTCCAATAGAGCGGAAAATTTCCTTTGTCTTGGTATTTAATTTGCCTAGGTTTCGACCGATTTCGATGGGGCAAATGGCTGTTTAAGTTGTAGGTCTTTCACTGTTTTTGGTACTTGTATTCTGCGTGGCCATGACTGCCGTGGGAGAAGGATCAGATGGTCCGAAGGCAGAATTTATGGGCCATTCATTGCCTTCGTTTACATCCAGTAACAACAAGTAAGTAAGCTTAATTGGTTCAAAAGAGATTAAGCTTAATTATTATATGTTATCCCAGAAGTTAACTCATAGTCCAGAGCCATAAATTAAAAAAGACAAAAAAAAAACCTGGAGATGCTGAAGGCGTGCAAACAAGCTTCAAAGAAAGCCTTGAGGAACAGATTGCACGGTTGCAAAGAAAAGGAGATGTAGAGGAGGATGTCATCCGGGTCAAGATCAGGGCAGATGGGACTTGCATTGGGGAGAGACTAAAATTAGTTAACAGCAACAGCAAAAATGACTAAATTAAGTAAGGTTAAGGTGGGAGGGAAACACTATAATATTGAATACTTCTTGGGTGCGGATTGGAAGTTTTTAGCATGTGTATGTGGGTTAGGGGCAGCTAACCAGGATCATGCACGTATTTGTTCCAAATGCCCTCGCAATCAGAGGCCTGACATCCAAACAGTATGGTCCCTTAGCAATAGTGACCAGGGTGCTAGATCACTGGAGGAAATTGCCAACTTTGCTACTTCAAAACAGCTCAACTGCAAAGCAACTCCTTTATTTAGCTTCACACCACTTGATCATGTAATTATTGATACTTTACACTTATTTCTTCGCCTATCTGATAACTTGACTGAACTTTTAATTAGAGAATTGAGGAGAAAGGATGCATGTGACAAGGCAACATTTCCACATGGGTTTTCCCAAAAGAAGTTTAAGCATATGGCCGGGTATGAAGCATTCCTGACGAACCGTGGCATTTCTTTTGAGTGGAGGATCAACAAAGATACAAAAAAGCTGGACTAAGAGATTGAACTGGTCCAGCAAAAACTCACTGTAATGCAAAACATTGACTTCCCTTCCCTTTTGCCAGGTGACCAGAATATAGAAAAACTGCAGCAGCTATGGAGTGAGTTTATGGAAATCATTTAATGTTTCATCCATAACAATACTATTGATAGCAGGTTCTTTGCTAAAAGTAACCATCAGTTTACATATCCAGTCAAAATCAAACTAACTCAGCTGCCGAGTGTTATGGGTTATGCCCCTTATTGACAGCCCTGTCATGTCGGTATATAGATATATGTATACTATAATAATATAATATATTATGTAATTGCAAAATGATTTTTTTCAAGAGGAATGGAAAAACATGAAGACATTTAATAAAGATAATCAGTTTCTTGTAGCATAATTATGCTTATTTCTATTACCCCTTACAAAAGTAAATACTACTCATAAATTGTCCTCTATTTCAGATCTAATGTATTTTCCCCCTATTACCTTAAATTCTTGGATGGCAGTCTCTCTAGACAACCAGAAACGCACAGTTTTCTCAATGACAAATGCAAAATCACCACTTTTATTGAAAATGCGTTCATCCCATTTGATTCCCAGCGAATGCTTTAAAGCCTCATTGGAGTCGATTCGATAGACAGTCTTCCCTCTTTCTTTACTTGGCTTCCCTGCTAATGCCAGTCCTTCATCAAACACATCCTGATCAATTCGAATTTCAACACGGGTTGCTGGATCATCCTTTTGGCCAGAATATAATTTTCTCTTTATTTCACGATACAGTTCTCCATGGACTAATTCCATAGGGTCCTCAAGAGAAGTACTAGAAGGAGTACGAAGAGATTCCACCCACTGAAAAGGAGGGTTGCTATCCTCAGTATCGCATGGCCGCCAATCGCCGTACCGTTCGCTATATTCCACATAGTGAATTTTCACTCGCTTTTCAATGTTGTCCATGTCTCTCACAACAACAGGAAAAAGTTTACGATCGGTTTTTGATATTTTTATCTTTTGGGATGACATTTCCAGCAAACCTCGTCCACATACCGTTTTGGCGCTGTAGATTCTCGCTCTGACCGCCATGTTTATTTAATTTTTACCCAGTTAAATATTACTTTCCCAGTGAGACATTAATGCACAAGCGCAGTAACAAAAACTTGTGTCCGCACTATCCTCGACGCCAGTGGAAGCAAATGTTCATCTTCAAGGGCAATAAGTTTGATATGTGGAAAAATATTGCTTTGATGCTTGCAGTGGAAAGCTGTTGCAAAAGCGATTTGATGAATTAATTAAATTCTCCACTATGACGCGCCATAGGGGACAAAAATACTTGTGTGAATTTGTGTACAACTTGCGTGAATTTATACACAACTTATCCTTGTCTAAGATAACTTCCTACAATACATTTACAACTTTGCTCTTAGGTCTACGACTTTCAGCTTCATTTACTTGACTTCTAATAAAACATGTACAACTTGTTTGTCAAACAAACCACTTATCGATCTATTCACACAACTTTCAACCTGTAGACATCAAGGTTGTTTTGCAATTTACAGCGTGTTGTTTACATGTTTGACTTACGGCAGTTTTTATAACTCACCAACGAAACACACGACTTAGCATTGATTTAGTACAACTTCCTCTATGAAATATAGAACTTCCACATTTTCGTCCCACTTGTTATCGATTTCAAAATTCATCATGATCGATTGGTTTACCAAATCCCAACATTCTTTGCGCGACTTTGTCTTCGAGCACGTGCAAAATGATGGCGGACGGTACGGGAAGAAACACTCAAGATATATTGAAGGATATAGTCAGGGTTTTAACCACATCGAATTCCCTTGAGGAAGCCCAGGTTCCTGACATGAGCAACTTAACGTCGCAAATAAACCCAAGTTCTTCCTCGGTGGTAACAGAGGCAGTGGCCAGGCTTTTTCCCGGAACATTCACTCGAACCACTGCTGCAAGCACGTCACGGCCTGCAAAATCAAAGAAACGACAACATGATTCGACTTCTTGCAGAGACTCTGGCTTTTTCCTGAAAGATGTTATGCTACTACCTAGCCCGAGAATTAAGAAAATTCCTTGTGGAAAGCTGAGGGAAAGCCTTCACATTGAAGGTTATGCTGCATCTGCTGTGGAGTTCTGTAGCGATTGGTCAGAGAGGAAACTTCCCAGTGCCGTTGAGGCTGTATTCAAGGATAAATTAGATGGTTTACCAGCGCCAATGTGAGTATAAAATATTATGTAATAATAATGTACATTTACAAATAAGGGCCAATAAACTTTACTGATGCACTGGGGCAAGGACGTCTGCGGGGAATTTTCCCGTGTTTTGACAGGCGAAAAAGGCTGCAGGTGTCATGCATCATTGGACTATGCAGTATGCAATCCAGGATTAGCGGGAAAGGAGACCATGGCATTATTTTTCCTTGAAACAAGGCAGAGTTTGTTGCCCAAATTTTAAAACAGAGATGCCTGATCAACTTTTTGGGGAATGTTGAAGTTACATTAATTTTGTTTTTGTTAGAGGCATAACATATTGTATTCTTGGTTTCCACTGTCACGCCTGGAAATTCACACATCCTCTCATGCAAAACAGACCCCTTTCGAACCAACTGATCATGACGATTAATTGAAATAGATAACAAGTAGGACGAAAATGTGGAAGAAGTTCTGTATGTCATAAAGAAAGTTGTACTCAACAAGGCTGCTGCCTAACGGGCGCCCGGTCGCCAGAGGCGCCCAAGGTAAGAGCATGGGCGACCAAATTTCGGTACAAGGAGCCCGCGCGGGCGCCTGACTTAACACACGGCATTAGACTTAACCTCCTTGTACATTATATTCCTTTAGCTGGAGTAGGACTTTAAACAGTGGAACTGTTGATATGGTTAGCGATGATGCGATTAGGCAGTATAAAATTTCCACAAATAAACCGTAAATTATGTAAACCTAACGTGTTCAACTGTGAAGCTTTGTCGAAACGAACGAAGCCATCGTTTCCGAGTCCGGATGGCAGTTGAAGACTGGGTCTGAGATTTGACTTCCAAATATGGAATAGCAAAATTATGGGCTGTTTGTTGCCTATGTTGACATTCGTGCAGTTCATCGTTTGCTTGGGTTTTCGTTGATTTGATAACTTTTTTGTGGCGAGAATGGGAAGCTATCTTGCGTGCTATCGACTGGACGTGCTTGATGTTCGATTTCATGTACCAGTTTGCAACGTATCAGCATTTTCAAGAGACTTTAAAAAACAACACGCCAGAGAACGCAGTATGATATTTCATATTTGTAATGTGATGTCTTTACCTTGAATAAAGAAATTAAAGTAATGATCAACTTTGTGTTGGTTGTATTTCTGCCTTGCTGCACGCAGCTAGCGCCCTTTCCCGCTAAAATCGGCAAAGGTTCTGCTTTTCCGCTAAAATCGGCAAAGGTTCTTCTTTTCTCGCTAAAATCGACAAAGGTTTCAGCAATTTGTCTTAAGCCCAGTGACTACAATGGAATTCTCGCAACAGGTAAGCAATGTTTATTTCTTACGACTCCGTATGTGAACATTTATATTAATATAGATAACGATTTGGAAACTGTCTCTTTCAAAACAATAAAATATATTTCCCGCTTTTAAAACACAACCAAGATGCTGTGCCTTCATTTGACCTATATTCAATGCGGTTTTTATTTAATCCGTAGTGACAACTTGACATTCTTGACCTTCTAAACGAAATAGCAGATCAGCTAGGTAGCTGTCTGTGATTGCCTCGCAAATTCATGCAAATTTTCTTTGACTAATGAAATTTGAACCGCGTTTGTTTTGAGATCAAAGATACTGTAAGCTTGATATTTCACTTATAATAAAACGGCTTCTTTTCGCGTACAGTTTCTACAGCTTGATACACTGATGTTGAGTTTGGTTCTGGAACATGCTCACAGAAAAGTGCAGAAAGTTTAAGACAGTAGCGCTTGAAATGTAACAAATATCATTTTCGTGACACGGCTATTTTTGTCGTGGAAGGAAATTTGATCGGGCAGATTTTGATCACGTGCTAGGTAACCAGTTCTGACGGCTCAGATGGAGAATCTCTTTTTTCCATAACCAAACCAGGAATTTACCTTCAAGATGACCATGCAACGATGAATGTCTTGTTTATTCATTCTCATCTTAGTTGAACATTAATTATAAGGAAATTTGGCAAAGTTAAATTTTGTTATGGAAAATATTGGTTATAAGACGCACCCGAGTTTTTGAGAAAATTTTTTTATCGAGCAAGCACAAATTTTCGTAAACAAAGGTGCGTCTTATAAGTGAATAAATACGGTACTTCGGTTATCAATTGTTTTCTTCTGATACTGACTTGTAATTGGGCTATATTTTTATTCGCTTACAAATACAAAATCTTTCGGGTTTGGCCGGCGGAATCTTTATTCCTTTAGTGACAGATATAAGATATTTTAAAATGAAATGCCACTTGATATCTTTATAGTAACGCTACACTGTGTATAACTGGTCTAGCCTCATTGAGGCCAAGGTCCTCAATAAAATATAACAAGTTTTGAACAGTTCACAGAGTGGGCCGGTTTTCTTTATATTTCAGGTTGCTGACTTAAAAACTTTGAAAGAAGCCCTGATTAGCAATAACCAAGATTTGTGTTGCAAGTTAAGGGACAAATATTCGCGAAAATTAAACCTTAACCAGTCCTTCCCGAGATCTGATAAGCTAAAACAAGACCAACTGGCACAGTCCCTTATTCCGTGTGATGCACCAACTGGCCTTATTGCTCATGAAGTCGCTGGGGATGGAAATTGCCTGTACCACGCCATTTCTCTGGCCCTTGTGGGTACAACAGAATACTCTACTTGTCTTCGTATTCTGACAGCCATTGAGCTGTTTGAAAATACTGCCTACTATGGAAACCATCCGCGATTCCGGAAGCTCTTCAATGTGGGTGTCCCTTTGGAGAAGTCACCGTTTTCACGCTCGACTGAAAAAGAAAATGGAATAGCAGAGTGGGAGCACAGTGGCAACCGTGAGTCTGCTATCCAGAGTGAGGCAATTGGGGGATGTCAGCTAGGTGAATGGTCGTCGCTGATGCACATCATGGCACTTTCCACAGTGATTTCCAGGCCTGTCTTTACAATCTATCCAAGTTGTGCAGAAGCTATTCGCCCCCTCTTACATGGCTTAGTGAAACCACGTATTAACAGGCCAGACGTGTTTTCCAATAATGATTGCTTTCATATTCTGTGGTCAAGGGATGGTGGATTAGACAGCCGCCCAAATGCTATTTATGTTCCTAACCACTTTGTCCCCCTTTTTAAAAAGGAATATGCCGATCATGCAGTCAAAACTGCTAAAGACTACCGCAAAGTTGCTGACCAGTCCACTAAAAAAGCATCCCCCCCGAAAAGGTCGTTTAGTTTGGAAGACTTTTGGTTTCCAACAGAATGTAAAAAGAAAAAGAGAAATGAAGCAGGCATAAACAATAAAAGAATGAAAATGGGGGATGATGGGAAGACAGAAAAGAAGACAGAGGACAAAATAAAGATGAAGGAAAAAATGCTGGTGGAGGAAGAATTAAAGATTCAGGATGACATGAAGATGGAAAAGGAATTGAAGATGCAGGATGAAACGAAGATGACAGATGAATTTAAGATGCAGGACGAAACAGATATGGAAGATGAGAGAAAAATGGAGGATGAGAGGAAAATGAAGGATGATCAGGGGAAGATGGATGCAAGAAAAATGGCTGCAGAAAAGAACATGGAGGGTGAAAGAAAGGTAAAGAGTGCAATGACGATGGATGATAAAAGGAAGATTGAGGTGAATAGGAAGATAGAAGAAGATGGAAAGGATGAATCGGATAGGACAAGGGAAAATCACGCTAATGCTATGGACAAACGTAAGGAATATGAACAAAAACGGACAAGGTCATTTCAGTGGAAGTGGCTTCAAGCCCATTCTTGGTTGCGTAAAACCTTGTAAGAAAAGGCACAATGCAGCCATTCATTACTAACACACCCTACCCAAATTCACAACCTGTTGGAACAGCAGTGAAATCAATGTACTGTGGTGTTTGCTCGAAGCACCCTTCTTTAGCATCAAAGGACAGTGAAATAGCTAAGAGAAGTGGGTCAAGCAACTTCAAAAACGAAACATTAAAAAACATGAAACAAGCCAGAACCATAAAAATGTATTGCTGCGGACAAAGCCATAAATGATCCGAAAAAAAACTGAAATGTACAAGTGCTGTAAGCAGTTATACGAAAAAAGAAGACGAAAAAAATGGAGAAGAAATTTAAAACAGCCTTCTACATTTCAGCATTAGAACGCCATTAGATGACTATGAAAGTCTCTGTGCGCTTCAAAAGTTAAATGGGGTGGAGCTGGGTGAAACTTACTTAACACGATCTGCATGTACTGAATTCATTGAGCACATAAGCTCTGTTATGAAGGAGGATCTCGCAGACAAATTGAAGGAATGTAACTTTTTCTCCCTAATGATTGATGGAAGTACAGATCATGGTGTCATTGAGGAAGCCATTATGTATGTGCGCTACTTGGAAAAGTCAGTTGGAAGACCGGTCACTGCATATCTTGGAATCAAGAACCTAAGGCTGGAACTGGAAGAGGTTATTTAGATGCGGTTGATTCCTGTTTCCAAAGAGTAACCAACATGAATTCAGTCACCTGGAAGGAGAAAATTACAGGCCTGGGAACTGATGGCTGTGCGGCAATGACAGGTGAGAAGAACGGAGTGGTTGGTTTATTGAGGCAAGAAAATAGAGAATTTATGGGATTCTGGTGCGGAGCACACAAGCTTGAATTGGCAGTTGTCAAGTGCCTAGAAAAATACCCAGATTTTGTGAAAGCACGTGATGTCCTTCGCAGTTTATACCAGGAATATCACTACAGCGCCAAGGCCCTCAGGGAATTAAGAGAGTTAGCTGAAGCACTAGATAACCAGATCTCTAAGCCTACTAATGTGTTTGGAGCTAGATGGTTGCCACATCTTCAAACCGCACTCCAGGTACTGTTTCGGGATATAAAACTCTCATGATGCATTGCCAGAACACAAGAGAGATGCGTGTAGGATCAAGTGGTAGACAGGGGCGAGCATCATTTTCGGTCAAGTTCTTAACCTCATTCAGAGGGTTGCTCTTTACCAGTTTTCTGTGGGACATTGCGGAGGAAGCAGCTCATTTAAGTAAGGTTTTTCAAGCTGAGTTTCTTACAGTTACAACCGCAGCGGCAGCAGTTCGAAAATTTGAATTACAGTGTCTTAATATGAAGTCGTTAAATGGTCCAAGACTTGAGGCGTTTTTGAAAGAAGCAGGGGATGGCAGTGTGTTCAGAGAAATTGAGATCAAAAGGGAAGACAATGATATTGAACAATTTGAGAAGATCAGAAAGTCTGTTTTGGATGAAATTGGACAGAGCATGGGGAGAGCGATTCCATTACCTCTTTAACGACCCAGTTGTAAAGGCTTCTTCAGTTTTAGATCCAGACACGTGGCCTACAGATCCTGAAGAGTTAGCGTCTTATGGTTGTGATCAGCTCTGTGTAATCGCTAACAGGTACCAAGAGCAGTTGCAAAAAGCTGGTTTTAAAGCTGAGTCTGTCAGTAGTGAGTGGCAGGGAGTTAAGAGCCTTGTGAGTCTAATGAAGCACAAGACAACACCTGACATTTACTCTGTGTTGTTTTCTAAACAAGAAGAATTTCCTAACTTCCTTTTGATTGCCGAGATTGTGTTCACCTGGCCTTTGTCCACCGCAGCTTGTGAGCGAGGTTTCAGCTCCATGAACCGCACTAAAACTATTCAGCGTTCAAGTCTTGCAACTAGGACACTGGACAACAACTTGCGTATCTCAGTTAAGTACCACAGCCTGAACAAATCAGAGAGAGTCAAGGCCTTCGCTCAATCTGGGCACCTTGCCAATGCAGTCAAGCATTGGCGAAAAACAGTGTCAGAGCCCGACGAGAGAACTGGGTGGACAAACATCCAGAGGCTAGAACCTGGAGTTCTCTTAAGGGGACAAAACCAAAAGACTGATGAACATTGCTCAATGCTGTGATTTAATTGTAAACTACACTGTGAATTCAAAGGATCTGTTTTGGACCCAAAATTGGGAGTTTTTCCTTGAGTAAAATACAGTACTATTTGAGGGGCTAATTAAGCTCTTCTAAAATGGAGCTGTTTTGGACAACTCCGAGCTGTTTTGGAGAACTTATAAGACTTAAAAAATGATCTTTTGAATTTACAATGTAGTTACATTGACATAAAATTCTTTTATAGCACAGAATCAGATAGGAAAATGTTATTCAATTTAAATGATTCCTCAAATGTTTAGCACTTCATTTAATGAGATCCATCCAGGCTAAGGTTTACATAAGGCACTTGATGTTCTGTTCTGTTTTTCCTGTTCATGTATAAAAAAGGCAAGGAGAGGATTGGTCTACTTTAGAAAGTTTTTGGAAGACTAGTTAAGTTGTCATGTGGAACACAACTGTTACTGAACAAATGTGAAAGTCAAGTAAATAATTCTGAGTTGAAATTACCTACTGTTATGTTATTCTTTTATTGTGAAAATTGTGAAAATTCCTTTTACACAAATTAAGCCCCTCAAATATTTTTCCGGCTCATGAATGTGTATAAGAAAGGTAAGAAGCAGTTTAATTGTTACATTTTAGAAAATTCTTTGAAGGCTCTTCTAGGTCACATTGAACACAACAGATGTGGAAGTTAATTGAATAAATTAATAAATGAAAGTAAATAATTCGGTTAATTCTTGTTTACGTGTTATTTATTAGGCCCGGCGAATTCTTATTAAAGTGTGCAAGAACCTCTATAACCTATGTAATGATCTTGGAAAAACAATACATGGATTTCAAACTGGGCTCCTAACAATGTGGCTCGGGCTCCTAACTTTAAACTTTAGGAGCCCGAAGGGCTCCCTAAAATTTTTCTTAGGCAGCAGCCTTGCTCAAACAATGCCAAGTCGTGTATTTCGTAAAACTGCAGTAAGTCAAACATGTAAACAACACGTCGTAAATTGCAAAACAACCTTGATGTCTACAAGTTAAAAGTTGTGTCAATAGATCAATAAGTGGTTTGTTTGACAAACAAGGTGTACATGTTTTGTTAGAAGTCAAGTAAATGAAGCTGAAAGTCGTAGACCCAAGAGCAAAGTTGTAATGTATTGTAGGAAGTTATCTTTGACAAAGATAAGTTGCGTATAAATTCACACAAGTTGTACATAAATTCACACAAGTATTTTTGTCCCCTATGGCGCGTCATACTCCACACTCTCAGCTGCCTAAACTTGACAGGTGGTTGGCAGTTTGTGGGGTGGAAATTAAAATTTGAGTGACTGTTGCAAGCGCTCCTTTCTATCCCCTGCCAACCATCCCCCCTTGCGTTTTCTCTCACACATCTACTTTTCACGATATCATGCAAATGAAGAGCTAGCTTGCAGGCTAGCAAATGGTTTGCATATACTGAGGTTTAAAATTAGAAATCTCACTTTACTCATATTTTTCAACGTGTTTATAATATTCATTATAATATATTTTGTTAAGAAATGGAGAAGTTTAAAAGAAGGAACAAGTTATTATCATAATGGAGATTTTTTAATCCACAAAATTGTGAATGCATTTTGAAGTTTAGGTCTGCTGAAGCTGTTCTACAGCGAGAAGGGTGTTCACTTGTCCACTGCTACCATCAAAAGAACCAGAAGGAAACCATGCTGAAAAAATGGGGCCCTTGTTATTGTCAAACGGTCCAAGAAAGTAAGCATGTCACCTACCTCGCCTTCATTCAGCAGTCTTTACCAAGCCACAATAAATTGGTAGGCATGATCTTTGCAGACAAGAGTATGATATGGTCGAGTGTCATCGAAAAATCTGCTTTTTACAGTTTAATTTGGGCATGAATCTCAACTACATGTGCAATGCTAATCCTGATCCTCACAGGCATCAGGAAGAAAGAATTTTACATAAATAATATTCTTGGTATTGTGCTGTTATATTTACTTTTCATGCAGGCCACGTATACAGACAGTGGGTACCAGTTCCAGAAGGATAATGATACTAAGAATACAGTTATTAAGTTTACCTAAAATATTATGTCACTCACAACAAAACACTAACCTCAAACAAAAACATTCAAGAAAAATTAGTTAGAAATGGTACAAACAGATTTTTGGTAGTTAAGTTGAGAATGAAGTTCATACAAGATAACAGCATAAACTACTGGCCACATACAGCAGAAAGTCCAGACATAAATCCAATCGATAAACTCTGGCATGAGCAAAAGCATTTCCTGAGAATGGTTGTCAAACTTCCCATCACAGAAATCGTTGCCAGAATCCAAGTTTTCTGAGACACTGTGACACCTGACAAGAGTAGGCACTATATCGGCCACCTTAAAAAAGGCGTTCCCATCTGTGGTCTAACACAAGGGTAGAGCTTCTGGTTATTAAAATCTGGAAAGACTCCTTTCCTAAACTGCTCTTTTAGGGCCATCATTTCTAACCAAAAACCATTCCTGAAAACTAGTACTTTATTATATTTTAAAGTTTGCAACTTGTGTCACAAATGTTAAGGCAGAATACTTTAAACCAAAAGAAGATTGCTCAAGATTTTAAGAATCAAAGGGTTTAGTTGCAGTACAACCAAACACTTAAGGAAAAAATCACACCTTCCAGAGTGTTACTTGACTTGTTGTCTTATAAAGTCACAACAAAACAAAATGGAAGGCTTGTCAGTGAATAACGAAAAGTTATCCTAGCTAGAAACAGGTCACTTGATTTCACAACCAAAAATTGTTTTTCTTTATTTTGTGTTAAGAGGCTTTAGGAGGCATATGCTAAAATCGCTATTTGTTACCTCGCCTATAAGCCAAAAATCAATTAAGTCCATCTCAGTCGCTCAAGAGACAAAAATTGATGGACTTAGAGGAACACTGCAAACAAACAAATGCCTGCACAAAGACCAGTTCAATTCAATTTTCCTTTCTTCATAAGTGGCAACGGGAGCAATTAGATTCTTGTAAACCTTTCCCTTGAGTAAGCTGTGGGTATTCACGATTACGCCAAAAGTTACTCTAACAGGACAAAAATCCAATCTGAGTAATTCATTTGTTGGTCTTCATGTCAGTATTCTCCACAGCCACACAAAGAAATGTATAGTGTTGAGAGGACAGAGAAGAAACCTGTAATCTGCAAAGAACATTTACAAGGTCTTTTAAAAGTTAATTGTTTTTTTTAAATTTCACTTATTAATAATAATACCTTTAGTAAAACTAAGCATGTTATTAATTATTCAATTTACATTGAATAACTGAAATATGAGTACCCAGATGTCTTCCTTTATGTTTTCTGACATGTTCTAAGTGGTGCGTTATAGAATGAACAAGCTCCCAAAGCTTATCTAAAGTGCTAGCAGGGGATCATTTTTAAAAGAGAGTTTCCTTGGTTCTCATTTTCATGGTATGTAGTCTATTGCTTAGAGCTGGCCCTAGAGGATCCCTTCAACTCTACCTATTTCAGCAAAGTTGCTAAGTATTGCTGAGATTATGACCTTCATGAGAACAGCCCCAAAAAACTGAAAGGTCTCTATGAGCTGAAATTGCCATATAAAGAGGGTTTTTAATTTCTCGACGGTGCAGTGAAGCCTAAAAGAGCCAGTGGTACCAGACGGATTTGCAGCAGAAGCAGCTGTACACACTTTAAGAGTAAAAAAGTGCACAAGCTCCCTGTTGTTAAGTACTACCTTGATAAGGTGGAGAACAAGAGCTATCAAGGTGTCGAGTTTTCTGGTTTTACAAATGCCAAGGAACGTTAAAGCTAAGATGCTGGCTCCTTCATTCAATTGATGTATTAAGTACTCGCCTTGCTAGAAGCTGTCAAGGACAGTCACACTCTTTTCACAAGGCATTTTTTATGTAATATTTAGTCATGGAGTAAATTCTGAGCAGTACGGAAGCCTGCTCATTCCAATTATCATGGCTAAACTTGCTGCCGAAATACGAGTACAAGTAGCAAGGAATACGTCCCAAGATGTTTGGGAGATAGACTCCTTACTCGATTTCATACAAGGAGAAATTGAAGCAAGAGAGATAAGTGAGAAGATCGAAGCCGCGACCGAACAAGTTAAGCATCCATCCCCCCTCAAGAAAGTCATTACCGACAGCTGGAACATTTTTTGGTGCTACTTCAAACAAAGAACCGACAATTCCAGACTGTGTTTACTCTTCAGGAAAACACTTTTCTGCATCGTGCGAAAATCAATCAATCAATCCTGAAACATGACAGAAGATGTTTCACCTGCATAGGAAAAGGCCACAACTCGGAACAGTGCGAAAAAAGCTGCAGAAAATGCGGTGGCCAAAAACATCATCAATCGATTTGCCCAGAATTACACAACAACCCATCACCCCGTAAACTGCAAGAGAAGTCAACTCCCACTGCATCAGGGGATCAATGCGAGAAGGATGGAACTACAACAGCTATGACCAATGCCGAGAGTGCAAACCCGAAATGCAGCGTTTTACTACAGACGGCCAGTGCCGTCGCCACGAATGAAGAAAGAACGAAATCAACTACCGTCAGGATACTATTCAACAATGGAAGTCAAAGGTCGTACATTACCGAGAGTTTACGTTCGAAATTACAGCTTAAATCTCTTCAAAATAAGAAGCTAAATCCAAATACATTTGGCGAGTCAAAATTCAAGAAACAGAACTGCGATGTGGTGAATTTGCAACTTCAAAAGACAGAGTACAATAATCCGTTAACAATATCTGCCTTGACATTTCCTGTTATTTTTTGGCCTTTGGCTTTACCCTTAAACGTTTCTACGAGTTAGGCGCACTTGCATGGTTTGGAATTAGCCGATGGGCCATGTATTTCTGCAAGAACGATTGATTTACTAATCGGATCAGACTACTATTGGAACTTTGTGACAGGGGAGATGAAATGAGGTGTCGAAGGACCCATCGCCATTAACAGCAAGTTTGATTGGCTATTACAGGCTCAATTAATGGAGCCCTTGACCAAGGTTACATACTCTAATCTGATTATCGAAGGGCAATACCCTCTGTTTCAACCGAATGCAGATGATGTTTTAGCTAACTGTCTCAAAGATTTCTGGGAGACAGTCAACTGGTATCAGCAATTTGTCAGCGAAAGAAAATGTCAAAAACAAATCATTTGAAATCGACGTCAAATGAAATGGAGATCGGTATGAAGTCAAGTTGCCTTGGAAGGAAGACATAAAGCTGTCTTCCAATGGTTATCAATTATGTCAGTCACATCTACGATCCTTGCATCACAAGCTTCGTAAAGAACCGTCACTGTTGTCAGAATATGATACCATCATTCAAGATCAACTAAAGGGTGGAATCGTCAAGAATGTGCCAGCCAAAGATTTGAAAAAGAAACTTACCTCGCAAAGCTTTTATCTGCCACACCTAGCTGTCGTTCGGAAAGACCGCGAGACTACGAAATTGAGAATTGTTTACAATGGATCTGCAAAAGCTTGCAAGTATGAAAACTCATTGAACGATTGTTTACAAACTGGCCCAAATCATCTCCCACACCTTTTCAACATGTTGGCAAATTTCTGCAAGAACATTGTTGGCTTAACAGCTGACATCGAGAAAGCTTTTTAGATGGCTGGAATCCAAGATGAGCACCGAGATTTCCTTTGATTTTTGTGGTTTGATGACCCAAAGTTAGAAAATCCGAACATAGTACACTTAAAATTCACACGACTCGTATTTGGACTGTGACCTTCGCCGGCTATTTTAGGAGCAAGTATTTTACACCATCTTAAATTGCACAAACAAAGCAACTCAGAAATGGCCGCGCTCCTAGAAAAATTCTTCTACGTTGATGATTTGTTAACAGGGGAGTGCAACGACCAAAAGGCATTCACCACTTACCAGAGAGCGAAGATGTTGATGGCTGAAAGCGGATTTAACCTCAGAAAGTGGAAAGCCAATTCACCAGATTTACAAAGGGCAATCACTGAGTCAGAAGGCGTGACAAAGTCAATTAGCGCACCGGTACAGAAGGTCAACAAACAAGACAATGAATTGCATGTCAAGTCAAACACGCAGAATGATGATATTTTCATGAAAGTTTTAGCAATGAATTGGAACTCTAACAGCGATGAAATTATCTTCAGCTTCTCCGAGTTAAGTAAATACACAAGTTCACTTCTGCTTACGAAGAGATTGATTCCCCTATGGGATTTCTGTCACCCTTAGTTGTAGAAATGAAGATTCTTTTTCAAGAACTGTGCATCAACAAAACGAACTGGGATGCTGAACTGAACAGAGAATTACTTGAGCAATGGAAATCGATTCTTCAAGATATGAGCCTCATGTACAGTTGCATGGTTTTAGCGACGCATCAGAACGTGCCTACGCCATGGTTGTTTATGTTAGAAGCAACTACAATGATGGTCAATTTGAGGTTCGACTGGTTCCTTCTAAAACGAGAGTTGCACCAATCAAGAGACAGACAATTCCTCGTCTGAAATTGTTAGGAGCTCTAATTTTAGCCCATCTCGCAAACAAGCTCAAGTCCCTTTGGACTGTTCCTAAGCAAAGACCACACAATCAAATGCAAGGGTCGAATCAATAATGCTTCACTGCTCCCATCTACAAAATCTCTGCTTCTCCTACCAGCCAAGCACACCTTCGTAAGCCTTCTGGTTAAACAAGCACACGATCTGGTAAAACATTCAGGCATCACTGCAACACTGACGACCTTGAGAGAACGACTTTGGGTTTTACATGGAGAGAGTTGGGGAATTACTAAATAGACGAGACAGATTTGTACACGCTGCTATTGTTAGTGTACCGCGTGGGACAAGTTGTAATTCCAATCAACGTTTGAGAAGACCTTTTCAACATCTCATTCCAACTGAAGTACAGCCGTGAAGTGTAGCAAGTTTGAACTTTTCAAAGACTGATTTTTTTTTCAACGTAAATATTGCGAATTTTGAGCACAGAACTTTTTAAGGACAAATGCTTAAGTCACATTTATTTCATGTAGTTGAATTCACTGTGGAGAACAACTAGGGGGAGTGTCAAGAACAGTCACACTCTCTTCACAAGACATTTTGTTATGAAATATTTAGTCATGTTTTTTAAGAGGTTTTGTTTGTACAGTTTGTCATTGATTTCAATTTGATTGGCACTTTTATACCTTTATCAAATTTCCTGTATATGTTTTGGATAGATGTGAATTTTTGGGCATTCTTTAGGTTCATCTCGATTAGTATTAAAGCGTTTAAATCGACAATCCGAGTGGTTCTTTTTACAAGTTTATAAAAGCAGCAGTGAGATTTATTCCATTGCCTCCATCTTATTTTGAAGCATGGGATTTTAGAACCAGTAGCAGAGAGTTCAGGGATGAGGTCATTCCCACACAATCTAAGCCGCTTCCAAGAACTCCACAAACAAAAGGGACTGCATGTACCAAAACTACAAGTGGTTGATGAATGGCATGATTATGCTGGACTATACTGTGCAGTATTTATCATCATTAACTCTTAATTACAGAGCGACATGGTATGGACTTTTCCAGTCATCAAGAGCTTTGAGATGGAAGGATGATTCGACTGTTAATCCAATTGTTATTCACTAGTCCTGTATCTGATGCTGCCTCGGAGAGAATCTTCAGCCGCTTTTCGGAACAGTGAGCAAGACCAAGAGAGCTTCACTCTCGCAGATGACTCTTCAGGATATCCTGAGGAACTAAGAGGAAGGAACACTGATGGAACCTATGATCCCTCAAAAGCCGTTATGGAGTGAAATAGTGCAAAGCCAAGATGGCCAAATCAAAAAACCAGGTAGGAGTTCAAGCAAAGGTCAACAAAAACTGTTATTTACCAACATGACTCTTCTGCTGAGCTCTTCAGGAGAACCTGAAGAGTTTGCCAGTCTGTTTAAGGATGAAGAAGTATAAGCCCCTGTGGTTGTGACACCCAGGGTATACTGTTGCTGTGACCAACACTACAACAATGTTCCAATCAACAATACTGTAAAAAAGGTTGGGTCAATAATAGACGATCTGGTAACACTGCCCAGATCTGGATCGTGAGCATCAAGGTGAATCACAGTCAAACCCTCTCCGTTAAAAAGCCTTTAGCTTGCATAGTTCAAATTAGAAATAATATCTGATATCATAATCCAATTGTAGATGTGTCTAATATAATTATAAATACAATTATAAATTTCTGTTAATGAAATTCAGATCCTATGTACGTTTTTTTCTTTCATTGTCCAAGCTGAAGCTCTGGAGAAGGGGACAGAGCCACCAACGTGCTATGGGTCCAAGCCAAAAAATTTTAAGAACAGAGTGTGCCATTACTGTGCTATGGGTCCAAACAAAAGATTCAGAGTGGAGAAAAGAATTGGGTGTATGAAGTGTTGTGTGTGTTTTTGTGCTAACAAGTGCCGTGACCACTTGACAGCTTGCAATTTAGTCAGACAGAAAATCAACTCAATCAACACCAACTTATCCAGTCACAAACAAAACAACTTCATTCAGACACTCAAAATGACAACAACAGGTTTCTCTCAATAGCGAAAGCAACAATCCACAAGAAGCAAGTTTGAGATTGGCTGAAGCCTCCCGCTGAGAAAGGCCTGCGGTTGTGCTGTGTTGCTGTTTGGCGTTTGCCCTGAATCTGTGAATTCATAACAATGGCTGATTCCAAAATGTCGAGACCATTGTCATAAATCCCTTGTAGATGAGACCTAAAACCTCTTGCTAGAGATTTCAAACAGGTTTAATGACTGTGGAGTCATAGAAGTATGTGGAAAGTTCGGAACTCAACATGTTTTTTTCCATTGCCAGTGAAATTAACCTATGCGCAGAAGATCCTTTTGAAGAAGATCAAACAGTTGTCTTGATAAAACAGAAAAAAGACAACACAAAGACATGAAATGATAATACAAAAAATAAAGCTGTTCAGCAACCCTCTTCTCAAGGTGAGTTAAGTCAGCCAACTAAAAGCTTCCTTCCAGCTAAAGAACAAAGTTTTTCCAAGGACATACAATTTCTTCAAGCACACGTCCCAAACATCAGCACAGTCAACTACTACAACAAAAACATGAATATGATGAAGTAGCACCGAGAGGATAAAAATCAGTTTTAATTGCCATTTGACAAGTCATCAAAGAAGAAATTGTAGGAGCCCAGCTCGTTCTGGTGTAAGTAATTGCAGTCTGCAAAGCAAATACCCTGAAATGGTGGCCCCAGTTATAGGATTAATTTAAAACAGATAATACTTCCTATAAAATATTCTTGTAGTATTTTCAACATCCCCACAGTAGGGTTTTACTGTAGTAAATATTATTGTCTTTTATTGTTGTATGTAATTATTTGAAATTATTGTCTTTGAAAAGCGGCTATAAGGAAAGTCCATAAAGTGTGTATGTATTCTTTTTACACGTTATTTTCTTATCCTCTATTATATGGGGTCAAAGACTTCTTTGCCCATAATCCATTGACCTCAGCAGTCTCAATTGTTTTATTCGTAAGTCAGACATTCTACAGGGCTTCTGATATTCTGCGATGTTGCGATTTCGTATAATTGACCTCAAATCGCAACTTTTCGCATAATTCATCAAAAATCACATAATTCAGGCAAAATTGCAAAATTCGAGGAAAGAGCAAGGATATATTCACTTCTTACTTAAGTTCTACAACAATTTAAGCATTGTTTTAAGGTGATTTACCTCTCAAAAGACTTTACAAATCACCAAAATCGTCTGCGAGCGTTCGATCGATCAAGCAGGCGTTCTATGCGTAGTTTTGCACATCAGCGACCTTGTACTAGTTCTCAATAGAACCAATTGCTTATTGGCAAAGAATAGACAATCGTTTGTGTTAATGGGCCATTCACGATTGTTGATATATTCTCTGAAGATGTTATTTAATCCCGCGCTGTTTTCGACGTAAGTGTCGGTGCAAAAACAGTTTGATCGTCGCTTGCAAGATGTAGCTTCTTTCGTTTACCATGAGACAAAATACCCCATGGATAAGTTTGTTGTGAAAACGCCGAGTGCTTCTTCAAAACCGAAAACACGATCGCATCTCCCTGTAAATATTAGGGAGCTTAAGCAAAGACGTTTTTGAGCGACGCACGTCAACCGGAAGTGAGGCCTTTTCCCTTTTTATACGCCTGGACACTACCAAATTTGTATTGCTGAGTTTCTTTTCTCCTATAAAGACGATTTACCTGAGGGTTTCAATCAAACCACAGCCCAACGCTGCAAAACGTCCACTTCCGGTTGACGTCCGTCGCTCAAAAACGCTGTTGCTTAAGCTCCCTATTACTGCGAATGACAGGGCAAGAAATTATCCGGAAGGTACATTTCATGTGGACGATGGCCGGTTGTTTTGCTCTTCGTGCAACGTGGTGGTTGATCACCTTCGAAAGTTTGTGGTGGACAAGCACCTGGAAGCGGCTTCACACAAACGGAATGCAGAAAAAAAGGACGGTGGGAAGCAGCAAACTCTCAAAACAGTGATGAACTGCAAAACAGTGGCTCAAGTAGAGAAAGTTCGTATTTGTCACGAGTGGATCAAAATGTGTACCACGGCAAACATTCCTCTTCACAAGTCGGATAACTACCTGATGAGAGAATTTCTGCAATCACGTGTTGTTAATGGTGGAGCCACTCCCAAATGTTCGCAGCTACGCGACTACTACCTTTTTGATGTCTATCAAACAAAAAGGGCTAATTTGAAAGAGATCATCAAAAACAAAAAAGTGGCGCTGATTGTAGACGAGCTGAGCAAAGATGAAGGTCGCTACGTACTAGATGTCATGGCTGTGTTGTTGGACTTTGACGAGCTTTCCCCCAATGGCAATTTTGTGGCATATTTGCTGGACACGCATTTCTTAAATGCAACTAACAATAGGACCGTATCCCAGGCAGTTGTGAAAACCGTACACAAATACGGCATTGATTTTGGTGACGTGTGCATTTTTAATTCAGATAATGTGTAATACATGATGAAAGCGTTTTGTGACACCCTGTCCTGCTTATTCCTTTTCTGTATCCACATCACTTACCACAGCCACATTGTAAATCTTGTTGCTTCAGATTTCAAGAAGGGTTTCAAAGAAGTGACCAAGTTTGTGAAGTGTTTCCGCAATCTCTTCTTCGTTCCAAGTGGAAGGAAAAGCAGATTTTTGAATTTCCTGCAAAAGGCCCTAAATCCAGGGGACAGTGTCACTATGCCACCTAACCCGACAACCAAAAGCTGGAGTGCTTGGTTCGACTCTGTCCTGTACCACGCTAAGTTTTACTTCCTCTTTGAAGATTTTGTCCAAGAGGAACTTAGTCGAGGAAGAAATGTTGCCAGCAGTTCCCTCCTGCGTCTACAGGAAATCTTTCAAGATGAAAGTTTCATGAAGAAGCTTCGTGCTCAATTTGCCTTTCTGGAAGTCAAGGCACCAACTCTCGTGGTGTACCTAAATTATTTTCAGGAGCGAATGCCACACGTTACACAGGCTCATGAGAAAATGGAGAGTTTGTTACAGTACCTGCATGCAAATACAAATGTGGAGGAAGATCTTAAATTCTGTTTTGAAGGGGACTTCAACTGCAAAGAGAAGAAGGAACTGATGTGACTTTTCAATTCAGCCTTTGCTGACACCCATGCTAAACTTTGCAAGTATTTTGTGGATGGAGCACAACCAGCTTTAAAGTTTCTTCAGCAAATATGAGTGCTTGATCGCAGAAATTTGATCGATGTAGAGCGGAATTTTGATTCCATTGATAGCATCCCAGGGTTTGAAGCAGTTACAAGAAATGAGTGGGACCTTTATGTCAACAGCCTTGGTCCTGCAGCTGTCAAATATAGCAGGGATGACAGCTTCGACTTGACGTTGTTCTGGAAGTCAAAGGCAGAAAACCTGCCTGAACTGTACAAGTTGGCATCATGCTACTGTACAACCACCATTGGTTCCTATGATGTCGAAAGGTCTTTCTCTGCGTACAGTGCAATTTTGGATGAGAAACGCAGATCCCTCGATGAAAGCACCATCAAGGCTTTCCATTTCTTGAATTTGAATCTTCGGGTGCAGAATTAAAAAAAACAAGAAAGGGAGCAGCACAGAACAACCGCCACATGCACCACAAACAGAGTCACCCCTAATGAGAGTTCTGTGCCAGGGAAAGCAAGAAGCAAGTCTCAGGAAGTCACTGCTCCAGAGAATCCACTGCCAGGAGAAGCAAGAGAGTTTCCCAGGCTGTTTAACAACCAGAAAAAAAGAAGTCAACATCTCCAGCCAGTTCCAGAGACAAAGGACACCGGTGCCTGTGCAGAAGGTCAGAAAGACAGGACAGAGAACAAAAGAAAGAAAACTGACAAGCCTAATTTCAAACAGTCCAAGACAGAGCACAAAAGGAAGAAAAGAAGTGATACCCTTGGGGCTGTCTACAGATCTTCCCTGGATACATACCTTCAGGTCAGGAAGGAAGCAAATACCAAACAGGCAGTGATGTCTCTGCTGCGAACCTTCAACATACACCAGCTATTGGGGTGATCTATGGTCTTAACCAGAGCACAGCCCAAAAGTTTGACAACCAAGCAACTTACATTTCACAAGAACACAGGGAACCGCTTCTGAACTGTTTGCTTAATGGTTCTGTGAAATTCAAGGGAAGCAGTATGATTGATAAGCAGGATCTGGAAAGTCTGTACGGCTGTAAACCACGCGAGGAAGACAATTACTTAACTAACTTTGTTGTTGAAGCCTATTTGCAACTCATTCAAACAGCAAGTCTTTCCAAAGGTCTGAATGTTGAAATTCTGGGGTGGGAGGCATTTGAGAAAGGATTTGGCAAAAAACCAATTAAAGATCTCCTGAAAGGTAAAGGCCCTCTGATGAATCAAAATGTAGTTCTGGTTCCAGGTAACCCAGGGAATAGCAAGCACTGGTTTCTCCTTGCTGTTCTGCCTAAAGAAAAAGAACTTTTGGTATTAGATAGCAAAGCTGGGTCTTTTACAAAGCCAACTACTGTGAATGCCATTTCCAAGATGCGGAAATTACTGCAGCAGTTGGATAGCAGCGTACATGTTAATCAGTGGTGCTTTACAACAAATACATCAATGGACATTCCACAACAAGGAAACAACATTGACTGTGGAGTGTTCCTGTGCATGTTTACTAGGTGTTTCCTTCTTCAATCCCCAGTTCCATACAGCAAAAGCATCATCAGCAGGGTTGCCATTAAGAGCCTGGGGCCAGGGATTTTCCCCGGCTACTAAGAGAGTGGCCCCTGGCTACTTTTATTGGAAAATAAAAGAAAAATA